TAAAATGATGCCATTTTTTTACTAGATAAATTAAACTTTAATTGAAACATGCAAAATACAGGTCTATACCGTAAAATGGGGTTACTTTGACCGGCAGAGTACCTTTGACCACTTTTCGTTTTTATAACAAAAACCCCCAAAACTCAAAAACTATTTGGCATAGAAGAATTTTGTCAATGGCCATCAAAGGCCTAATACTGAGGCTACATTATTTTACCAAAAAATAAAATTGATTTTACCACCCAGTCAAAGAAACCCCAAGAGCTGGGGTAACAAAGACCATCACTTTTTTTGAAATTACGTCTAAACTATGAAAACATCAAAACTTACATATGTAACTAGAAGAGTTCTACTACAATGCATCAAAACCTAGAGTTATTTTACCAAAAAATAAAAAAATTGGAGGGGGTACTCCGACAGGCTTTAAATAATAGCTCTTTTTCATGGGTCACATTATTAATTTTTCAACCTATTAGATATGCAAACTTTTTAAATCTTTCTACTGTGTTACGTAGCCTCAGTATTAGGCCTTTAATGGCCATTGACAAAATTCTTCTATGCCAAATAGTTTTTGAGTTTTGGGGGTTTTTGTTATAAAAACGAAAAGTGATCAAAGTTACCCCGGGAGTCAAAGTAACCCCATTTTACAGTATGGAAGAAGTAGTGATTAATGAAGGTTTTAGAAAAAAATTGTTTGCATCACTAACAAGCATTTTTTGCACTTTGAATATCCAGGCCACCACTTCAATTATATATGTACGGTATCATAAAACAATATAGTTGACAAGTTAGCCAAGCCCCTCCACCAATACTGCTTTGTCAACATCAACAAGAAACTCACTACTCTCACTAATCAGTTTATTTGACAGCTGTGATACTGCATAATTTCTCCATCCTGCTCAATTTTAATTCATTCATGGATAAAATCCCACACAATCTGACTCGATATCGGTAAAAATCAAATTCGTAAAACCAAATTCGTATGTGTATGTTGACCACACATACAACAAGCCTCATTACAGGCTGTGTAAAACCCTTGCTCTGTATAACGTCACAATATCCCTGCACTCGTACATCATAGAGTTTTTTCCGTTCACTCGCCAGTACATGAAGGTTTGTATGAGCTTCACAGAGGAGGCACTTCCGGTCCATGGCATCATCATCGCACACACGCACCGACCGTCTGAGTCTGATGGGTCGGCCACACAGTTGTTGTTCTGGCGCGCCTCAGTGAACGTGTATGCCATCGCAGTCTATTGTACATCTTTGATCTTTTTTCCTTGTGCCCGTGTTGGGTATTCATGTTTCGTCATCGCTCTGCACCTTTTATATACGCTGTAAAGAAGAGTGATAATTATCTCGTATTGCTCTTACTCTGATCGTAGTTCTTGCAAGCGTACTTTAGAGTGTCCTTGCTCCCGTTAAAAACTATTTGAATTCATTCAGCTCTTAGTTATTGGATGCTGGATGACATCGCAATATATCTTTTAGCGTTAACTCTAAAAGTTGACTTTTTACTTCGTAGTTGTTGCTTGAGATATACGTGGAAATCAGTAGTATTGAAACTGTTTTCGAAGGTAAAATTTGACCAAAATAATTGAACCCTTCATCCTTGAACTGACGGATCATAATTGTTTGGTGTTTACGCGTCTATTTTGTTGTTTGTGTGACGCGGCTGACGCCTATTGTGTTCAACAATTCAGATGACGATGCATCTATGTTATTCATAAGATCATTCAACGATCCTATCACTCACACTTCGCAAATTATGCTGTTATCGTTATTCTATGGAGAAAGTTTGGAGTTTAACACGATTTGCAGGACATCGCGTCCTTCGGATGCATGCAGTAAACGAAGGATGAATGCATTGTGAAGCAGTAGCTCTGATCCATCACACTTGCAGTGATAGAGCGAGGTCATGATGCTTCACGTAACGGTTGTCCTCGTGCGGGTCTCGGCACTAAATCAATTGTCACGAAGCGAATGTGGCGTTGCAGCTAAGTGCAGTTGTGCTTTATTTCTATGGGTTTCGACTGAGACAAGTTCGCACGGATTAATATCCTGAATGTGTGCGATGTCATATCCATGTGCGCGATGATGTATCTATGTTACCTCAATATCTATCAATGTTTGAAAGATTCTACTAGAGTAACTGTGGACATTTATATATTCTATACTCGTCGTTTGTATGCTTCCTAAGAGTAGAATGATTTCAGAAGCCTGTCGCACATACAAGGCCGCGTTCTCTCCTAATTACGTGCGAAAAATAATCGATTAGAATACATAATATAACAGCTCAGTCATGAAAGATCACCATTATATTCGTCTTGTTACGTCTTCTTGGTCTTGTTGATCTTGTTACGAACCGACGTATTCGCTGGAAAGTGTTGAGAGGTATGCCCGACGATAATGTTGATCTAAATGGACAAGAGAACCCATCATACATCGTTCAGAGCTTCCCGGTGTGTCATATTATATAAAGCTTCTTTGCAGTACTTACCAGTTTCTAGAATTGTTAGTTCATCTGGATAACAATTCGAAAATTCTCGTCATATTCGAGTTTCCGCCGCTATTATTGATCTCGCCCACACCGCAATTCCATCCTTTGTTTTTGCCTTACCTAATAATTGTTATTCTTCCCTCGCTTTTGTATTTTCCTTTAGCCGACATTGGAAACATGCCTTCTCCTTCTGACATTGCAAACGTGCCTTCTGTCTTGCTGTCAGTTTCATAGCGGGTGTTCGTCCTATTGCGTATCTATTAGATTGCATTTGTTGAGTGCTTAATGCAATTGCAGCTGTCTATCTTGCAGCTGTATATATATGGTTTCTAATGATTGCATCGAACAACTGCGTTTGTATCGCATGTCAGTCTTTCTTGTAGCTGGCTGCATCCCGCTTTGCCCAGAGTCAGCAAATAGCAGGGCTGCTGCACCCATCATTCACCATGCAACTACTGCCTGCGCTTGATGCGCAAGACTTCTGCTACTGATTTGTGCTCGTTTTGTAGCCCTCAATTCGGCAACACGTTTCAGTTTTTTTGATGTTTTTTATCAACTGGAGATTTTTTATAGATAATTTTTACTTCTCATTGAGTAGCATGAGGAGCACACATGCTTTTTGATGACCGAATTTTTTCAATTGTCGCAATTACGATACTGCTCTCTGACATTGTTACAAATGAATTTTCATCGTATAAATAACTATTTCTCTCACTGTCATTCCTCTTGTTTATGAATAATTATTTCTCTCACCGTCATTCCTCTTGCATAATTTAATTTAATAACGATAAAACTTTTCGCGTATATATGGCTGCGCGGTGAAAACTACGTCGCATTAGTTTAGTTAGTTATTACGTGTCAACAATATTTCTGTCTCGATAAACTTATCAATAATAATTAGCCCAGTGCTCGTGCCTGCCAATAATTGCTTGGTAGCGAAGTTACTCATGTCATTGACTCAGTCGGCCGAGAGCTGAAGAACAGAGATCTTCTGTATTCGATAGTTGACAGATGCTTATATATGAGTGTCATGTCCGGAACCGTGACGTCACTGACGTGTGATCACTCGTCTCGTTTGTGTTTTTTATTAACTCATCATCTAAACATTATGAACATACCTGTAAATTTATGTAACAATTTACAATTTGTTCTTCAAGGATAGGGTCATCCGGTAATTTTATCGGATTTTCGGTGAACACCGCCAGAGGATGTGTCCTCCAACTTAGTTTCGTGGGTGCCAGTGCTGACTTGCAAGTGACAACATGAGGTTGTATTCTAAATTCGTGGAGCTTATCATTTGTAAGTGTTTTTTATTCATGAAATCGCATCGAACTGATGAATGTCCGAAAAGGGGCCGACGTAAAAGTTTACTTGTTGCGCCATTTACGTACCATCTTGTCTCGCATATATGTATTTGCCAATGCTCGTTTGTGTATTGAAAGCCTGACGCTGAAAACAGGGGCGGACCATACGCGTATCAAGGATACTTATCATGTCGGACGAAAATACCTGGTATTTATTCTTGACCATGGAATTCTGTGGCGTGGAAAAATACAAAAATATATTTTAATATAAAATATTAATACTATTTGCACTCGAGTGTAATTTTTTATAATAAAAAGTTCAAGTTGTCTTGAGATTTGAAAAAAGGCTTTGGATTGCAATTACGTGCTTAATGTGTTCTTGAATGGGTCTTCCTTTAATTGCAGTGTTTGTTTTTTTAAAATTATGACAAGATTCGGGATGATGGTGTTCGAGATGACTGCATTAGTGTTGGCCATACTTTGAATTGCAAGGATTAACAATCAAATGTTACGATGGGCTAGCCTGCTAGAATTTTGTAGGTGAAGGGTGAGGTGGGCTGTAATTTTTGTGCAACACTCAATTTTGTGAGTTAACCCATCTTGTACTGAAGAAACACATTTGAACAGTTGATATCAGTTTCAAATCAGGGTCAATGTTCGTTAGGCGATTTGTCTTTATGTTGGCTCCATTAGTATTATTATTGGTAGTTTCATAGCCAGAAAATTAAATATGAAGCTAAGGCTTGATTAGTGGAGGGCATTATTCAAGTGAGGTTTGTTATTCGTAGGGCATAGCGCCTGGTGCGTCTCTCTGTACCGGATTGACGATGACCTTGTAATCTGCTACTGATAGAGCGAGTGTCGGTCAGGACGATAGCTCTTCCTTTGCTGAGCTTGTATTCTATTTCGTCTGCTCTTAAAATTTAATTTAATTTCACGTATTACATACTTACAAATTAGTCCATTCGATACGGTACTTACATCATTACGTTTCAAGTAAAACCTATGCATGGCTAAATTGCTTTATTCGTTACTACAGTGTTTTGGGTACAAGATCTTTTCAAATTCGATTTTAGCTGAATTATTCATTTGAATAGCTAACACCGAACTGGCTATTAACTGGTGTTTCACAAAAATTTTGGGACTCGCGTGCTTTGGTCTGCTGACGATCATATTCCCGTTGTATTGCAGGAAATAATGTCGCCTCTTGTTTTAGAATGATGAATGAGAATATAAATTGATATAGGATGGATGATCCCTCGGTTGCAGTTTCTAATGCTACTCAACTTCGGCGTAATCCTTCAGGTAACTTCATTAAATACGCGCCTGTCAACTGAACCAAATTGAAATAGACAAAAATGATTCCTGCGTCTTTGTCATGTCTCTTTATGCAAATCTTTATCTGTGATTCAGGTATCAATAAGGGATAATTGAGTAACTGTTGTGTCGTCGTTGAATGGACGCAATGCTGTTCTCGAGGCTTTATTCGGGAAAATTTTTTGAATTAACGTTTGGTAAAAACGCAAAAAGTACTAAAACTGTGCCCATTTATCATTTTTATTTGTTCAAAGTAAACTATTTGTTTTTAAATCCAGACGATTGAGTTGATGAACTATTGTAAATAATTAAATACTGGACCGTTGCGCTTATTTACTGATGACCTGGTGTAAACTTTACATAATTATCAACATTGATGGAGTAGCCTCGTGTTCGTATGTTATACGTTCTGGTCTAAATGGAATATTATTAGTGATAGGTATTTATTATGGGTTGCGTTGCATTTCTGAGTGATGAAATGAATGCCATTCACTCGTTATTTTGTAAACCCAAAAACGATAAAAAAATATGCTGGATTTGTGAAATGCAGACAAAACATGAATTCATTGTTGTATTTTCGTTCAAATTTTGTGATTTATTCCTCGAAACCAACGTAATTCTCATGCATTGGTATCTCTTACAGATTCGACGAACGACCAGAACGTGCCGAAGCCTTCGAACGGACGATCTACAGATCCGAAGTCTGACATAGTTTTGCTGCCCATCCATTCTCCCAAGACCGTACCAAGCGGCTGGGGACGACTATCGTGGTTTGAACCTCTAGCATACCGTGACGCGACTCCAAAGAACTGCCACGTTTCTGCCTGCTCAGTTAGCGCCTCGCCAACCAGTGGCTACGTCACTGAACAAGCATTCCTAAATTTCATATCAAACCCAGCACCAGTACCTGAGGTTGTCACAAAACGATCTTTAGAAGATTTACATTCCATCCCCAAAAGTTCCCTTGATGACATCAGAAGCCTTCCTTTCACCAGGACCTCATTACAATCTCTTCATCGAAGTGTTCTGTCGCTGCGAACTCGACAAGCTTCTCGAGAGTTATTCGGTCCAGTGGTGCGCACGTCAAGTGATGAAGGAAAGCCTCCTTCTGGACCGAAACGCCACATTAGGCCGGAGCTTCAAAAATCTACTAGCAACGTAGACTTACGGTCTTTTGCCCGTTTTAGGACAAGGAGAGCCGAACTCATTCGAAGTTTGAAAGACACCCAAAACTCTCCGCCGATACCACCAAGAAACTCGTGTAACTTTGCATTCGTTCCTGAGCGTCCTGATCCGAAATTAAAAAGTCCGGTCGCGTGTGCCAGCGTTTCGTCTCCAGAAACTCGCGATGCCTCAGGTCATGAAATTCCTTCTCCTAAAGCCACTGCTGGCTCGCCGAATCCTGAACCGCAGCCACAACAACCACCACAGAAGAAGTGGAGTTTCAAGCGTAAGGTGGATGTACCTGTGAGAAATGAAACTCGTCGGTGTAACGATCAAAACAATGACACAGAATCTGTAGTTCTAAGAAATCCATCTGGTGCAAATAAGAGCAGTAGGTTCTCGCTCTTCCGTCGTTCTGTAACACAGGCAGAGTTTGGCAAAGTTAATGTGAATCTGCCCCAGCAAGCATCTCGACTTGTTAGTAGTAGCAGCAGCTGCAGTAGTGGAAGCGCGTCGAGTCTTAATCAGCCAAATGGATCCCCGCGTTCTACCTGCAATGATAATAACTTCCAAGTTAATGCTATTTTTAAACTAAGTAAGAGCAAAAGCCGACCCGAAGAGTCTGTCTCCAGCCATTTTATTCATTGCCATAACGAGGCAGTAGACGATCGAGTTGAAGACAACAACTGTAAACGCTCCTCACCCAGTTCTAGTCAAGCGCGTGATGATAGCTATAGTTTACCAGATCAAGCAAGAAAGAATAAAGCCTTAGCATTCCTCAGTGTTAAAGATTTTACTATCAAAAGTAAACTTAAGAAAACCCTGAAAAATAATTTCATAATAAAGCGTAATCGGTCTCAGTCCGTTAATGATTCTCAAATCGATGGTCGTAGTCAGGTTGTCAACGGTGCGAATAAATCTGACGAGAATTCCCGATCTAAGTGTGACTCAATCTCCAGTGCTTCTGAGACTGGCTCCTTGACAATTGAAGAGCAATCGTCTACGGATTGCTCTAAATTTGACTCGAAGTGTCATAATTTTGTATCTCTTGCAACTAAGGGAAAGTCCTTGCCTGACGAAAGTTCAACTGTTGTGCATTTACCGCGTAGTGCATATTTTAAGGCCGATGAAGTTCTCGAGTTTTATAAAGTACACAACTCTCCACTTGATGCATTTTCTCCTCCCTCAGCTACCACAACCGCTTTTGGATATTTTCCCGCTGCTGAAGTCGACAATTTGAGCGACTCGGTTTCATTTTCAGACGAGCCCGATATTTTTGAAACTACTTCATCTTTAGAGCCCAGCACAAGTCTCACATCCAAGAAAGGAGTTTCATCGTCTCAGTATTTACAGGAAAACTTCCCTCAGCATTGTTTGCCCAAGACGACTGATGTGTTTCGTGTTCCATCTATCTCATTTCCTACATATCAGTGCGACTTATCTGAACTCCAGTCTGCGGAAAGTAAGGTTGACTTAACTAAGTCTGTCTGCACTACTTCCGTATTTTATGAGGACTGTCTTGACTCTTTATCTTCTTCAAAGTCAAGTGCGAAACTTCCTGCGTCTAAAGACTTTCACATAACCCCTCAGGCCTGCATAAAAACAAATGCCATTCATCTAGCTAATCCTGCGATTCACGAAAGTTTTACTATTCTTAAGCAATTCAACCCCACAACTGCTGAAAAAAAATCTTCGCAGAAACATTCCAGTCTTACAGTCACCGAGGAGTCCATTCAAACGTCACAGGTGGTAAACGGACGAGCTACTAACGCCCACTCTGAAGAGACTTCAAACCCCGATGAATCAATTTCTGGACTCCAGCTGCCTGAGAACGAATATATTCGAAAGAAAGCTGCTGACGACAACGACGTTCTGTCTGATGTCCGATGTGCAAACCCCGCTGTTGATCACATTACTGCGAGAAAAAGTGAAGCGGATAAGTGGTCGCCGCCACAAATTTCTGGCAAACCTACTGTAAGCGTCGATTTATCTGTCCACGCTAACTGCGCGGAAGCAGTTTTAGATAAAGACGTTGATTTTCCTGCTCGGTGCGTATCTGCTGCCGCTGAAACTGGATGCAGTAATCCAAGGGAAAGTATCTCGAGCAGTGACGCTGACACAAAACGTGGCTGTAGATCTGCTGAGGATTTAGACTCGGTTTGTGCTTGTGACTCAAGTGCATCAGGAGACGACATGAGTCATCCAGGGGGAACTCTACGCCGAGGCATCAAAGCCACGACCTCGCGCATCATAGGCGCCTCCATCAGGAGGCCGGGCCTGTCCCCCGCCATATCGCTAGGTGAGTACCTGGTCAACATATTTCTCTCCTTCAGGAGGAATATCTAAATTATACAAAATTTTAATGTATGTTTATCGACGTGCCGTTTTCTAACAATAAGTTTTATCAACCTAATATTTAATTTTGTGTTATTTTAAAGATCTTTTTATGATTTCTCAAATTTTTTAAAAATCTTGCTGTTGATGAATATTTTAGAACTTCAGAACTGAAATGTTTGTTCCTTAGAAGGCGAAAAAGAAGCACCGACGGTGCCTCTGCCATTCTTTATGCTGTGCTCTGAAATCATGTACTCCAGATCGAGAAACAACTTAGTCAGAAATCTTTGCAAAATTAAATGTATCTCATTTGTATTATTGGAGTATGTTTACATTCTCGCAAAGTTCGCTTAGTACGTTAGTGAGGAGTGCGATTAAATTTTGAGGTTCCATGCTGTTTCCATGTATGGGCGCAAAAACTACAATATTGGACTGCTCCAAGTTGATGAGACTGCAGAAGCAACTCGAGATTCTTGTCCCCTATCGCAAGTCTGCTTTGGTTGTAGTTTAGTATAGCCTCAAAGGAGAGGTGGGGGAGTTTGAAGAGCTCTGTGAAGGGGGAACTGAAAGAGAGCTGCAAAAGGGGGCGTTGCGAGGGAAAGCTCAAGCAACGCCTTTCGATCGATACGAGGGATCGCAGTGACGGACTAGCCAAAGCTGCTTATCTCTCCATAGATCATGCCCCTGGTTATTGTAATTCACGGGAATCCATAACAAACGTATGCTGACATCTTATTGTTGGCATATTATTGTGGTTACATGTAATTATCCTAGAATTGTTATAAATTTGTGTCATAATTTTAGGATCGCACTCGCAAGGTTCACCAAAATCTGGAGCCAATGCGGCTGCTCTCATTCAACTAGCTCTCTTTTTCTCCATGTGAGATGCAAAAGAGCGCCTGGAAAGAGCTTCTTAGGCTTGCGAGTTCTCGCTGTGATCAGTCTAGTAATTGAATATGATGCGTGATGTCGTGGCAGTGCGTGCTCACATGAACTGTGCTGTCGTGCTGTATGTTCTGCACTTACTCATCTCAGTTGCCCAAGTCTTTTTGTACGACATTATAGCTTCTGTAAAAGTGCTCTTCGTGGTAATATTCTTCCAGGGAATCCGACTCCCTGCCTTGAGTGCTTAAGAAAACCACGTTTGTATCGGAGTCTTTGAAATAGATTTTAAAGTTAGGCCGCCATAAGAGTGTTCCACGATGTATTCTTTTTAAAATGCCGGTGCATCGGTCGCTTTTGCCGTGAGGCCACTTAATTTATTTTATTGTTGTCTAGCTACTAAATTGCTCAAGCATTCTCTGTAATATGTGTTCCTGCATCTGACGCTCTTCGAATTCTTACTGATTTTTTATTATTCAAGTCGGGAGCTTATTAATGCTTTAATTCACAGACCAATGCATGGGTCTCAAAACGTATTAAATTACCCAGCGTCGTAAGTGTTGCTCACCATGTAAGATATAGCTACTTTGTGTATCACGAGACCTTAAACGTGCCTGAATTTCTAGAATGATTAACTGGCAGGAAACTGTCTTGTCACGAACTTCTAAAAATATTGTATAATAGAAGTAAATGTCGTGTATAGACGTCCTATCTACAGCTTGTACTGCTCGTATTGGCCAGTAACGTTCAACGTTATCGACGGTGACAATTCTTCTGGTTGAGTGTGTAACGTTCAATAAACTAACACGTGTATCTCTTGGGACTCGCTGTCGAATTATCACTGAACGATCAAGCGCCGTGGCTGTGATTCTATTGATTTACTCAGAATTTGGTGACGTGAATTAATGTTTAATACTAAGTAAGATTCTTTGGGAAAAGATGGTTTTAATCGTTATCGCGCGCGTTGTACTACTGCAAGAACTAACCAATTGATAAACGAAGTAGAATCTCCAGAAAGTGCTTACGTTCAAGAGTTTGGCGTTTCTTACCCCTTGCCAAAGTCCTTATTTAGCAAGGAGATTGCCCTTTTCACTTAATAGAACTGAATTGATTGCGTCCGTCATGCCTTTCGCTGCCGATTCTTCAGGGTACGAAACATTCAGCGCTAGACGACGGAACCCCTTTCGTGAGTGACATAATCGGTGGGATTGTCTGTGTAAATTAGTGAGAATTGCAGTGAATTTTGCGATATTTCATACTGATATTTGAGGAATCTTTAACCAAACGTTATGTTGGCTTCTCTCTCCTTTCACCAAAAAATTAAGTTTCGATTACATTTGCTCACTTTCTTTCATTTTCCTGCGTTTTTAGTGCTCCTTTTTTGGGGTAGGTATACTTGGGCTTTAGTGCTCAAGTATATTTTAAGGCTAGATTGCTTGTGCACCCCTCCATGAAATTGCCGGCGCTCATCAAATTAACCTTGCTAGGCAAGTTTTCCGTGTAAGTTTCTCGAGATTAAGCTGTCTCATTTCCCGTTAACAACATTTCATATTACTCCCATTACTAGGTATCTCGTGACGTATTGGCAAATTTACTAAATATTTGGTGCTCAAATCCACATGATACTGGTTTTTTCTTGTCTTTAATTCTTCTTTTTACGTCTAATGTGGTTTTATTGATGGATTTTAAGTACTTTTTATCGATTATTTTTTACATGAAATATCACATGAAATATTCGATTATACCTACCTGTCCAAAAGTTGAGGTAGCTTTTTGCTTCCGATAACATATAGGTAGTACTCCTGAAAGTAGTTATATCTGAGTTCCACAATTGTTTCGCTATTTGAAGTGATTCTACATTCTAGTTTTCTAGATTTACTCTGCAGGAAGGAGGCAAAAAAAAAAAAACATAAGTGGACCATGCTTATTTTTTTTATGTTTCAGCCAGTAGTCATTAATGAAACCTATTTCTTTGTTGAATTATTCCTCATTTCTGTAATTTTTCATTCTCTTCTTGAAGAGTACTGTTTAGTGTCTTACTCTAACAAAATTTACTCGTAGGAAGCATGATTTATGCCCAATATACAAAGTTCCCTGGCAAGTGATGCATGTTGTTGTTTTCCACCTAGATCGCTCCCTGGGGTACGGACCTACCGAACCGTCGCGTTTCGTGGATGGCGTGAGCTTCAAAGGAAAGCTCATCGGGGTGCTCGAGGTGGAGGCGGCGAGAGGCGACCGCATGTGTCAGGTGACATTGTTTTCCTGCTCATATTAAATTCTGCTTTGTATACCGTAAAATGGGGTTACTTGGACCGGCGGGGTAACTTTGACCACTTTTCGTTTTTTTTAACAAAAATCCCCCAAAACTCAAAAACGATTTGACATAGAAAAATTTTGTCAATGGCCATCAAAGGCCTAATACTGAGGCTACGTAACACAATAGGAAGATTTAAAAAGTTTGCAGCCTACTTCCCAAAAAGGATACGTTCTAGTGAGCGCAAAATGACTTGCACTGATGGTTGCCGCCACGTACAACTTTAAAATGTTCTCTGCTGCGTACAAACGTCCTCAGGTTGCTACACTCAATAGTTTACGTATAATTTAAGTTGAAAATTAAGTTCCCGGAGAGGGTTAAGGCAGACTCAGTAAAACACCTTGCCAAGAAAATTGACTGAATAATGTAGGTCATAGAACTTTTAATAAACATGGTAAGTATTTCAAACGAATTACATGGTTATCAGGTTATCATTTCAATAGATTTTGTCAAGTATTTTTTTATTGTGTGTTTGTCTTGTTGTAATTGATGGTTGGTGTACAGGAGGCGCTGGCTGAACTGAAAGGCGCGGTGCGGGCGGCCGGGGAACACAAGCAACGGATTGCCGTGACCGTGGCTATGGATGGCATCAGACTCAGGGATGATCGTACCGGGGTCTGTATATATTATACACTCTACTGTTATGCTATGTTATATATTATGTATGTTTTATATTATTCACTCAATGGTTGAACTTATATGAGGTTGACCCACGAGTATTTCCGTCTTTCAGTTCAGCTTTCTTGTTACGTCACTGAGTTCGAGAACGTAAACAAACCCGTCATTCCCATGACGGATTGCATGACTGGTTTGATCGCATTTCTGTGATTGGTTAATGCCCGTAACGTCACTGAGATCGGTGACGTCACAGGCGAACAACAAACTACATCTGCATACATGTGCTTCTCATGTGTCTTAACCTTATACTAGTTCAACCATGATTAACTGAAGGTATTTACTCTTAAGGATTTTCGCAGTGACGATGGAGATGAACTCTGGAACATTTTGATTTATGGTGAATTGTGACATATTTTTGGTTTTTTAAATTCCTTGTTATCTAACATCGTGTGCTTTTCTTAAAATAAACTAGCATATTCTCGTCATTCACTCTCGGTCTATGACGATTGTTATGCTTTCATCTGGTGAACATTGCTCCTAGACTGCTGCCCGAATTTTTGCGATGAGACGAATACTTTCAATGCCTTCATAAGAAACACCATAAACTATGTCGTTATTCTGATCGATGTTAGAAAAATTTATTTAAAATATTCTTTAAATTAAAGCCATGATTATTTTCAGCCTATTTGTTGTATTGCCTTGTTTTCATTGATGTTTGGTCTGGGTAATTTCCGCAGATTATAGTTGCATCTTTATTTCAAGTTTATTTATTTCTTGAATTCGATGCATCATAGTGGACCAAGAGTTCGTTTCCATTCAGTTGGGTGCTGCAATTCGGGTCTACTCCTAGAAAACATTAATATCGAAAGCGAATCAGTTTATAATTTATTAATTTTCCAGGACTGCTTGTACCATCATCCCGTTCACAAAATATCGTTCATCGCTCAAGACATGACCGACTCAAGAGCGTTCGGCTACATCTTTGGATCTCCCGATGCCGGCCACAAGTTCTTCGGTATAAAGACGGAAAAAACTGCCAGCCAAGTTGTTATTGCCATGAGAGATCTTTTTCAGGTAAGCTCATCTTTCTTCGTCATCGGATTTACACAATTGAATTGCTTTCTCAAAAATCCAGGTTTGACATTGGAAAATTTTCAATCCAAAGTTCATTATTTATATTGTTGTAGTCCAAAGTTTGTTTATTCGGTTTATGACGACAAATATGAATAATATATAAATGACAGTTGTTATGAGCGGCTAAGGTTAAGGGATTGTTCTCCTATTATAATCTCGTGTAAGGAGGAAATGGTTCATTGTGTCTCATTTTCGTATTTTATGGAAGTGCTGTCTAGTCTAAAGATATTCATTTTACTACAATTTTTACTTTAAAAACTTATGCTAACTCAAAATCGTTTTATTTATGGATAATTACTGCATAATTTTTTGAGGCGCTTAGTAGTAATTATTTATGCCTAAAACATTTACATTTACTGCTAAATTCCTTATATCAAATAGCTTTGTTCTTCACAGTTTTTTCAGGAAGGCTTTGGTCGACCGTTTATTGGAAGTGATATGATGCAACTGTGCGCATTCCTTTTTTAACCAATGTTGATATAGCAGAGAATTTTCGCCACATGGATTTCAAAAATATTTGATCTGTTTTTAGGTGGTTTTTGAGATGAAGAAGAAAGAAATTGAGAAGGCTCGGTCTCAGCTCGAAGAGGGTCGAGACGGTGTTGATTTCAAGGTAATGTCTGCTATGATGACAGTGAATTCCACTAACATAATTGTCCAACACGGTGGCCATATTCTATCGTCGTTAGAATATATCTGAAGGTCTCTCTTCTCTCAGATGTTTGCTAGCGTCTGAAAAAGAATCATTCTACTCTCGATCTTATGAACTACGGGAAAACTATGCATTCCTTCTGGTGGATATAATCCGAGTGTCCACAATATTTCGAACGCATCGCCAATTATATTCTGAAAATTTTATCCCTGTTCTGTTTTTTCTTTGGTTATCGTCCAGTGGATAAAACCGCATCGCAGTCTCTTTCTTTCGTCCATTCCAGTTTTTCATTACCTTGGATCTTTCTTCTTTGAATTTGTTTTCTCTACTCATATTACTTGAATCTTTTCTTATGTTTGCTTCCCTTGATTTCTAACTTCGATCTCACTTCTTCAATTTCATGTCCTCTCTAAACCCCAGTTTTTTTCTTTATTGGTCAATGTCTGCTTCTTTTCCTTACCCTAATTGTAACTCTCGCATTTTACTCCGCTGCGTTTATCTTCCCTACCATTCACGAACATTTTCTTCTCTGTACAAATGTCAATCTAAGTCAAAATTCACCTTCACCTACATTTTCTTCTCTGTACAAATGTCAATCTTGGTTCCAACTCACCTTCACCTACATTTTATTCTCTGTACAAATGTCAATCTTGGTTCCAATTCACCAACATTTTCTTCTCTGTACAAATGTCAATCTAAGTCACAATTCACCTTCACCAACATTTTCTTCTCTGTACAAATGTCAATCTTAGTTCGAACTCACGCACTACATTTGCCGTGTGCTACCCACCGAACTGCAGGACTCAGGTTTCCTGTCAAGCCTGGACGGAAGCAGTAACTTCATCAGCGCGTCTCTGACGTGCGGTGCTGGGGGTGCGATCGCTGATCTGCTTGACCTGCAGAGCGAGCTGTCTAACCTGCAGCGCGGCCTGTCGCAGATATCTAACAGACAGGCCGCTGTCTCGTCGTCGGGGTCAGACGCCCAGCCAACCTCAGCAAATAAAATAACAAAGGTTCCTGCAAAGTTCATTTGTTGCTGGCCGTTGTTTTTCCTATGTTTCAGATTGTTCTGTTTTTCTATGCAAAATGTTCTGTTCTCTGGCTCATGGGAAAATCTTCTGTTTTCCCATATTTTAAAATGTTCTGTTTCCTATGTTCCAAAATGTTCTGTTTTCCTATGATTCAAAATGTTCTGTTTTCCTATGTTCCAAAATGTTCTGATTCCCCATGTTCCAAATTGTTCTGTTTTCCTATGTTCCAAAATGTTCTGTTTTCCTATGTTCCAATATGTTCTGTTTTCCTATGTTCCAAAATGTTCTGTTTTCCTATGTTCCAAAATGTTCTGTTTTCCTATGTTCCAAATTTCTGTTTTCCTACGTTCCAAAATGTTCTGTTTTCCTACGTTCCAAAATCTTCTGTTTTCCCATGTTCCAAAATATTCTGTTTTTCAATGTTCCAAAATGTTCTGTTTTCCAATGTTCCAAAATGTTCTGTTTTCCCATGTTTCAAAATGTTCTGTTTTCCTATGTTCCAAAATGTTCTGTTTTCCCATGTTTCAAAATGTTCTGTTTTCCTATGTTCCAAAATCTTCTGTTTTCCCATGTTCCGAAATGTTCTGTTTTTCCATGTTTCAAAATGTTCTGTTTTACTATGTTCCAAAATGTTTTGTTTTCCTGTATTCCAAAATGTTCTGTTTTCCTTTTCCTAGGAGTATTTTGGTTGGAGTAGATTTCCTGTTTTATGAATGCTATTTGACTTTTTGTAGAATATGTTTGCTTTTCAGTTGCTTACCCTATGACTGGATTCTTTACATCGGTTCTATGCATCGGTCATAAAAGTTTGTTGGTAGAGATTTTTGTGCTTTCTGGAAATCCTTCACGCCACTGTCATCATTGTAACTTCTGTGTAACATCAGTTATTTATTGCGTGTTTTTTTTTTCATTCCTGAGGAGAGTTTCAGACTTGCCCGTTTTTAATGTTCCTACTCGACATTCACTTGAATCATCATGATTCTTAAATCTCTTGATTCAAGTGTCAATGATTTGACGAGCTTTGAGCGTTTTATTTTTTATCTCGTTTGCATGTCATAATTTTTGTGTTATTTGTTTTTCATGTTATTATTTTAACTTATATTATAGACGTTGACGGAAGATTGATTTCTCCCGTGGTCTGTACGCTGAATTTTTTTTTCTTGGCTTCACCAACTTTAAGCAATTTTCATTTGTTTAAACCTTACGCCGTCTTTCAAAACTGATATTTTGAGTAGTAAAGATGTAACTTTATATTTATCTCAAGTATTTATGTGAACAGCGCTAAATACTGCACAAATTTTTGCGCATGATTTTATTAACTCATCGTTATTTTACTAAACTTCATCATATTAATTGTAGTGATATAATTCATTCGGGACTCCCACCACTATATACAATATTTTTACCCTAAATTTCTAACAATCTTCTCATTTTTCCGAAGTTACTTAACGTATACCGGTAACTAATTGATTAAATTCTAAAAAAGGCGAATGTGCTTTAAAGGCGAAATTAATTCACCTAAATTTTTGCAGGACGACAAAGCGTTCGATCCGTTCGGAGATTCATTTCGTCCAACGAGTTTGCCTGGATCAGCCAATAGCAGCGGCGGCAAGGGAGGAGTTATTTGTGGATCGTCAACTCTGCCGTCCAGCAAAACGAGAATACCTTCAACATCTTCGTGTGGTAGCAATGTTAGCATTTCAAACATTCCTCCTACTTTAGCACCACCTCCTTTGACGGGCCGATCTCGGCACGACAGTTCGCATTCCCGAAAACACGCACGGCAGCACGGCATGGGAGGATCTGACTCGGAGCATCTGGAGTTTGGAGCCAACGCATTTCCTGTTGATTTCTCCAACGTGACGCGCGCTGGTGCTCAAAGTGTTCCCCCGCACGATGTTTCAGAAGATCGCTATGCTGTGTTCAAAGAAGTACGTCCTTCTAGCGATGAAAGCTTGAATGAATTTGGAAAAAGTAACACTGGTGGGAATTTTACGAACTGTCGGATGGCGATGTCTCATGAAGCTGTAGATTCCAGAACAGGAGGCTTCGAAGACGGCTGGTCCCTTAACGATTTGGCAGGAACAAACGCCGCCGGCGATTTCGAAAGGCGCCAAGGATCCAACTATGATGTTTTTGTTGATTTAGATCCGCTGGGTACTGGCAAAAGTAAACCTTTCATAGACAAGAAAGATTTCTTCAACGACGTCCGAAAGCAGAAAAAGCGTTTGCTACGAGAATTGGGGGATGGAGAAGATTCTCACCCTGGGTCTCCTCGCACACAAACAGGCGTGATTCCTACAGAAGTTTCGGTCCTGGTAGCTTCACTTTACACATCATCTGGCCATCCATGCACATCTTCAGAAGTTCTCACCTCACACTATCCTTCTTTGACTACGTCCACCACGCCAATGCACATTGCTGCTATTGCCTCACATTCTTTTAGCGAGTCATTTAGCCCACCTTTAGATTCGAACGAAGATTATCGCGATCGTCAACATCATACAGTGGACTTGCAACAACAGCAACAATTTGAGACTCCCGTATCTGGTTTTGCCGATTTCAACCGTTTCTCTGGTGAAAGTCCACGGAGTCAGCGGTCAGAAATGTCTTCTAGCAGCATGCCTGAAGATAATACACCACAATTGCTCACAGGTGCTCTTACTGTTGCTCTACCTCCTGAATCTTTCCGTGATTCACCACCGTCCCGCTCCCCACCACATACTTCTCATGAACAAAGACAGTCCTCAGCATCTCCTGAGCGGAGTCCACAACAGGCGCCGAAGCACCTTTTTAAACAGACTCTCCCTTGCCCTACAGACGATTCTGTCAGCCCTAAAACGCTTCCTCGAAGCCATAAGTTTCTGCAGCAGGAGAGTGTGGACGGAGATTGGGATTCACCTCGCCAGAAAAGTGTACGGGATGAAGGCCATCACGAGCATGATGGCTTTAACGTTTCAAGGGGATTGTCAGGCTGGGACGAGCAGTCGTCCGAGTCAAGCCAGCATTATCAATCTCGAGAAGCCATAGCGAGTGTTGGTGGAATGAGTCCCCGCCCGCGGCCTCGTGGTAGTTTAACTAAGCATTTAAGTGCTAGTTCGGCGACTCTACCCTTGCGTCAACCATATCGCTATGGACGAAAGTTGAGTCACGACCAGAACTTCGATCTCGCTTATGAGCAGCATGAATACAGAGCAAGTCAGGAGAGTTTTGGCCGAAAGTATGGCTCAGATGAACTTTTTTCATCTCCCGAAGGGGAGTGTCGGCCGTTCCCTAACGAAGACGCGGACGGACCATATGAAGAAGCTCCTTACCCGCCTCCGCGGCCGGCTCCTATAGAACCACCTCCGCTTCCACCAAAACGTCAACCAACTGACATCAAACTTAGACCTCCGCCCCGCCCTCCTTCTTCTGCATCTCAAGACGCTCATTATCTCTACATCAATGACAAGTACGATTTGCCCCCCGAATCTTCACGCGCCAATACATCAACTGGAGAGGTGACAACCTCTCCTCCCATCCCCTTGCCGTCCCGCAAACCAAGATATTCTGAAGCCGCGCCTCCTGCCTGCCTACCTAACCGCGCTAACAAACCAACTTTCATTGCTAGTGAACCGTTTCATTTCCCGAGACCTAATCTCAGTCCAACACATGATTCTTTTAACACTGGCGCTATCCCGAAAATGTCATCCTGTTCGAGAGATTCTACTCCTAGCAAAACATCGACCCCATCTGGAAAGTCTCCACGTTCTGGCAAGCGACCATCTACAGGATCAATTGATCTGACCAACACCAGCCTCGACCAGCTCGCGACAAAATTGGAAATTCCAGTGGAGCAACTTGCAAAAATGACGGTCGTTGAACTGGCTGCTTGTTTGGCCCAGCTTCAGCTCAAACAAGAGTCAGCCGAGACAACCTACTCGGAAGATTTTAAGAGGGGAACCTCGCGTTTTTCGGGAACCTCAAATTCTTCTAGTTGCGAGAGGAGCCAAGACAGAATAGATACAAAGAAAGATCACATGAACAAGTTCAGTGATGATGAAGATTTTGCTCGTTTTGATGCCCAATTTCCGGCAAGCCCTCTGCGTACTCCGGATTTTCCTCTAAACCTCGATTCAGCGAAAAATCAGAAATTAGGTGCACCCGTTAGTGAAGACAGATACGCTGTGTTCCGAGAACTGACAGTGACCGCCAAACATAAGTCTGTTTTCGACGAAAATTTTCTCACTCCACAGAATTCCATGGAAGACGAAATTTCAGAAGTGTCTTCTGGGACTTTCAAAGTGAATTTTGCTCCTGCAAACTACCGCCAGGATTCCATGGATATGAAATCGTCTGTAAGCGATGATTTTGATCACGATCGTGAATACACTGGCAAGCATTGGAGTAGCACCGGTGGACCTGAAGAGGGAGTTACCATCTTTAGGAGTCCTGATATTAGCGAATATGAAAATTTCGAGCCAACTTTTGAAGCCAAATTTGCTGACGATTTTAGTGAAGTGGACAGGCATTCATTAGACTTGATTGAAATGACTGGCCCACTCCGTAGTCCAGCCACACAAAAACTAAGTACTGACTCGGGCAAATCTCCTTTCACCGATGATTTCAGCTGCATCTCACAAGAAGAAATTGTCAAGACATTAAATGCTCCAAAATTACGAAAAGAAAACACTAGTAAATTTGAAGATGACTTCGTTCCTCCAGTAGAACAAGACAAGTATGCTGTCTTCCGCGAACTAGAAAAGATGAAAAATCACTCAAAACGCAAGTCTAGCACCTCGAGTAAATCTCCGTTTGATGACAATTTTGTTGAGAACGGACCTAGGGAATGTACTGTGATGGACAGCGGTTTTCTCTCAACAGCCGAAGTTGAGTTTGACAAATTCGATGATGTTTTTAAAGACGCAGAGGAAACTAAAAATGAAATGGATCGAACAGAACAGTCTACAAAATTTAACGCCAACGCTGAAACAGACTCCGTGGACATGGTTCAAGAAGACAATGATAGCCTCAATAAAAGCCCCATTGATGACTACCCACCAAACAGAAACGACAGGTACGAGGTTCTGAAGGAAGTTGAGAGCGAAAGAGAGCCTTCTTTAGATGGAGATGTTGGTGAAAATGGGCAACGCCTTAGCAGGTCATCTCCATATGGTGGGTCGTGGCATGATTCTAGTCGCAATACTCCGTACGACGAACAAAAGTTCAGGTACGAATCACCACAATCCAAAAACGAAGGTGCAAGTCCTTGTGGAGAAGTGGCATTCATTGATAGTGAGCATACAGCGGCAATGGCTCGTGGGCATCAAGAAGGGTCTTTCCGAGACAACAAACGTGAGCGCCCGACGATTAACCAAACCATGTCACTTGATGATCGCATGAAGAACTGTAGCAGGGAGTCACCCTATGAAGACTGTCTGAGCGGTTCTCATGATGTTTCTTTAGAAATGAAAAATGGTTTCTTAGGTTCTGGCAGACCAAAGACTGCTGAACTCCACCGTTCACGGTCCTCTACTACGCCAATTGGTTACGACCGTCAGTTCTCTCCCGTACCAGAGAGCAACAGTTTACCTCCTGTTGGGTCCGGGAAGGGTTCCTCAGGGTTCAGCCGAACTTCCTCAGTGTGTAACGATGCAAAGCCGTCACCGTCTCCTTTCGACGACAATTTCATCTCTGCTGTTGAGAGCGTTGCGGACGAAGTGTGCTTTGAGGCTGCTTTTCCGAGTCTACAACCTCTTCCTGACAGTCTCGTAGACGACGGTTCTGAGTTCCCGTTCACTGATGACACACAAGATGACGTTTTCGTTACTGGTAACAACGCATTCGCTGATTTTGAAAACGCGTTCCAAGAAGATCGACCCAGCGTCCGAGAGAACGAAAATTTGACAGCGTCGCCCAACAGCCACAACCCGAGTTTCGAAGAAGCTCAAGAAATTTTTCCAGATGGTGAGGTTGAATTCAGAGTATCTGCGCGTTTTGCCCAGACGTCCAAGGACGACCCTGATGATATTTTCAGGAGAAATAGCGATCCTTTTGCAGAGGATTTCTTTGCTGAAGATTGTTCGCCAAGTGTTGACGTCGCAATTTCTGGGACTGAATGTTCTAAAAGTTGGAAAGAACCCTTTGAAGTATTTAATTCTAATAATACTAGTAGTAGTAGTACCAAGTGAAATGCAGCAAACGCCTATGTAACTATGATATAACGAGCAATGTAGTTATTATTAATGATTACACGTCTGAAAGAACGTCAATTTTTATGTTATTCGATCAAACGGTTATTATACCGCGTACTTTGTGATATTATTTATACACGAATCTCATGAAAATAGTCACAAATCGTGCAATGTCACTAACAGGAATCTCTCTATTGAGGGGTATTCAGACCATTTTTATTTTTAATTTACCCGTCGTTTTTCACCGAAGTCGAGGCCATTGATTCGTATTAAGCATTCCTTTTTATTTAGCTGGTGGACGTGCTGTGAGACGAACGACTTAGGTTCCCAATCGTTATTCATCGCTTATCTGTAACTGATCTCGTTGCCTTGGAAAAATTTTATTATTATATTATCTCCTGTAATCCGTTGATTCATTTCTTTGGTCACAAGTTTAATGGGCGTTAATGAATTTTTATATCTAGAGTGCATCGCCATGGTTGCAAGCAAATTCGCTAGCATTAGCCTATTCTATTGATACAAAGGAAATGTCGCAAGAAATTTCCCACAGAGGCTAAAATATGAGTGGAACAATCGTTTCAGAAATAGTAATTACTTCACTAAATTCAAGTCTTTGTAATCAAAATTTTATTTCATAATCTTATAAGTTTTTGTACAAAACACTATGACGATGAGATCTAAGCGCTTTTTTTTACAGCTAATGAATTTAATCTTACATTTTGTGTGCAATTTCTTAGCGTAAGTTAGGTTCCGTTTGTCTTTAGCATTGCGTTTTTAATTTATATGTCCATAGAGTTGGATCCATTTAATTGCTCTAGTTGATTATTTTACTACTACCATGATTAACTTCGAAATATAATTATCAACTTCATTTTTAATGTAAATTTCAAATCTGTAATGCAAATTTCGAATTCGGTTTATAAATATCCTATTTAAAAATATTATATTGTCAGGAAATGGTAGTTAAATATACATTCATGTACCGCAGCAATATTATATTGCGTATACTTAGGACGGATGTCAGTATAAATGTGAATTTTATGTTGCAATTATGCATGACATACAAGAATTAGTTTTTACTTTTAATTTTTCGTAAAACTATCAACACGATACACCATCAGACAACGGACTCGCTTATGCGACGACAATTTGTTTTCTTCTTCGACCGGCAACCCGTCCGGTCAGATAATCTGTTAGTCTATATCGCACCCTTGAGATACAGCATTTTGAGGATTTACGCGAGCAAATATATTTTTACCGATAATTTATATAAAATTTGCATTGTGCGTCATAAAATTATTAGCTCATTGAACTAATATTTACGCCATTTCGTCTAAATTGCATATACGTACGCATTTTTGTACATTGCATTTGAACGAAAAATGTGTGGCAATGGAACAATTTCAAGACGGGTTGGAATGTGTTTGAACTTCTCACTGCTGATGCATAGCAAGTCGTGTTATTTGCCACACTTGTAATGCAAATTTCGTCCTATGAACGATCATCGTACCTTATAATTGAAGTTGTGTCATAGTAGAAAGTTAATAGTCAGCTTTGCTAACTGGTAAGAAATGATTAATTCATTGACGAAAACTATCGTAACGATGATATCGACGATATCTATCTTAACGATTATATCGACGACAACTATCGTAAATAGTAATGCATGTATTAGAATGAATTGCATAAAATAAAACAAGCCACAACATGATTGAGGTCCACCAGCAGTCCAGTTTATACCGCACATCGGACTAGTTGGAGAATAAATCGCGAATTTCACTGTACTTTCATTTATTCTAAAGCTAAGCTTTCAATTGTCAAGTTTACGGTTGTTTAATTATTACAGATTCTTATACCTTAATTACGAATTTTCCCAAGTAAGTAGTAGAATGGTTTGCTAGCGCTTCAGCTATCAAGCTATTTCGCTCCGGAGGTCAAAACTTGAAATCGCCAGCGAGTCGGAAGGTTTCAATCATTCAAAATATAAAATTAATCATCACCCACAAGGGACGGAAGGTCTCGATTGTCCAGCCCGCTGAAGCTTGCTCGAAAGAAGCAGCGTTAGCATCTCAAAGAGACGAATAGACAAGGAGGGACAGGTGAAAAGCAACAGAAACTAAGACTAAGGTCGCTTACACGGGACGCCGGCCGCCCGCACGAGAAAGACAGAAGAGAAATGTAATAAATTCTGCCTACAATTGAGACCTGCAGTCAGACATCGCAAACTCAGCGCTCAGGAACAATTCCTCTTGGAGCGCGAAATCCCATAGGACTTCTGACGAGTACAGACACGCGTCAGAAGCCCCCCCTGAAGGGAAATTCTCCCAAATACTAGCCTACCATACATTTTCTCAGAAGAGAAATTAAAATGATTAAAGCTTGGGTAACAAGTACCGAAACCCCGTTCATTATTACTAGAACTAATCGATGTCTTCGCCTCAAAGGAATGACGTATTAAATAACTACCGTAAAATTGTAGAACACGTTGACAACACACTAGTAATCAATGAACTAGATGCCAGCTTATTGGCGCGATATTGCAACTTCATATGCAAGCTGACCTATGCGATATTATATAGGTTGTCATATAAATCGAGGCGGTACATTGAAAAAAAGAGAGGCTAAGAACGTACAACTGACGTATAAAAAGCTAACTACTCTCGCTCAACATAATAACTGATGCATGAAAAGCTTAACCACGGTAGATAAAAAAAGCTGCCAAACTATAAGAGCAATAAGATTATATTCAACAAATTTTAGTCTAAATAGCTCGAGATCTGGTCGCAGTATTATGACAAACTTGGCACTCTTAAGGAATCAAACTCGAAAATCGATACTTATAAAACTGAGTATTATGCAGATCTGAAACTTTAATGTGGAAATTTCCTCGGTTGAACGCCAATAAGAAAAGTTCAACGCCGCTAACTCGTGAAATATCACTGCGCAGTAAGAGTTCTTATTATTCAGTGACTGGAATGCGAATAAAGTGCTCATTATGCAATAATGGAGTTCTTATGAATTAAATTCGTTAAATACGTCGATATTTCAAACGCTTTACAAAGACTTACTCAGAACAACAGTATAAAAATATAAATGAAGCATTCGGTAGCAATAAGTGACGACTACGATACATTATATCTAGCAAGTCGTACTTAAACTACTGCAAAAAATAGCTGCCATTACAAGCTGCCGCTTCCATTAATTTGTAGGCACATATGAAGGCAAGGCTAAAACCCCCAAACACTAATGACAAGCGATAATGTAAGAGCAATGCAAATAAGATTTGAATTCATGGAAGATTTTAGTTTAACATAAAAGATAACATTGTCGCATATCGAATAGGAGTGGACACAGAAATAAAAGCTTGCACTTCAAACAAATGCTCGGTCATTCACTGCTCGTATTATCGTCTGTAGTGGAGCACTCATCAACGGTCGTTTGACATATGCTTCATGATATTTGTTGTTTTTGAGATTCTTGAATGAATATAGAGATCTTTGTGACATGGTCGACGGCCATCTACTGAGAAGCACACTACTTTAACAAACTAGAAACTAAATCGCACGCGGAATTATGGCACACAAATAGGAACGAACATCAAAGCAAGATGAGTATCGCAAAATTAACCCGCAAACTTAAATAGCGTGAAGTTTGACGGAAAAACGAGATGCCAAACATTAAAATTCAAATAAAAAAAACACGACATGAATAATTAAGTACCAGCAATGTTACAAAACACAAACCAGAAATTCGTACAAACAAATAAATTTGTAGGAAACAAAGCATTTCAAAATCCTCTTCGAGTATTATGAAATGCAAAGCACACTTAATATCGTCAAAGTTACTAGCGAATTCACGAGAAAATAACACAACTATTAAGGAAATAACAAAAACTGGTAACAGAAAATGAGAATTTAAAAAACTTCGACTTCGTGTTTTGATTCATGTAAATTCTGTTAGCAAACCACACACAATAGGTATTTTTGGAAACCAATCTCGTAAATAGCGATGAATACTTGGATAACAAAATCGTTGGGTATATACATTTCGCGATTGAAAACATACTTTTCGGTTGTTTTCCAGATTGATTCGTATATGGGTGGTTGTGATTCAGGCAAGTCACATAGCATACATAGCATAGCATAGCATAGCAACATCGTCGTTGAAGAATAGGGCAAGTTAGCCTGTCACCCAATCTCATTATGCTCTTGACTCGTCTCTTGGAGATCTTTCTACAGGTGATAAGGTGAGAATAGTGTGACAACGAATGTGAAATAAATAATGTGACTAAGAATGTAACATATTGTAACTTTTCAGTATTTTTAGCTCATTTTTTCATTTATGGAAAAAAGGCGCTATTGTGCTCGTCATGTCCGTACATCTGTCCGTCCGTCCGTCCGTCTGTCTGTCTGTCCGTCTTTCCGCCCGTCTGTCTGTCTGTGACTTCACGTTTTCGTTGATTTTGAGAAAATGCGCTCTCTGTCACTCCCTGCAGTGAGTACTGAGTTATAGACATTAACACCCACGATCGAACATTGGATGGTCATGCGAGCGGGAAAGAAAAAACTACTTGCAATCATAATTATAAGTTTAAATGCAACAAGCTAAACGACGCACTCACAATGTTATTGAAGGGAAATATAATGTGATAATTTTCGTTTACGATTCCTTCCATTTACCTAAAAGACAGCATTTGTTCCAATTGAGGATTAAAACATTAACTCCAAATTGTCCAAACTGAAATCAAAAGATGTCACTTGTTGAGTCGACGCTTCCAGACAAAAAAATGGGAAAAATTAAAATAATACAAACAATATGAGATTTTTTAAGCTAATATCTCGTAATTCATTAATTATTATGAGGTTAAGTTAGCATTGATATGTTAAGTGAGGAAGCCGCTACATTTCTAGTTGGTCAGATACGTGATTCATAATCTTAAACAACGTCCATTATTGCTATACATTTATGCTGATCCCTCACTCCCCCACAACCACGACAGTGCTACTCATTGATCCATGAGTAGCAGCACTCATCACAGCTTGGTGCAGTAAGAGGAGTGGAGCAAGGCAGAGGCACTCATCACAGCTTGGTGCAGTAAGAGGAGTGGAGCAAGGCAGAGGCACTCATCACAGCTTGGTGCAGTAAGGGGAGTGAGGCAGGGCAGAGACACTCATCACAGCTTGGTGCAGTAAGAGGAGTGGTCATCACAGCTTGGTGCAGTAAGAGGAGTGGAGCAAGGCAGAGGAACTCATCACAGCTTGGTGCAGTAAGGGGAGTGAGGCAGGGCAGAGACACTCATCACAGCTTGGTGCAGTAAGAGGAGTGGGGCAGAGCAGAGGCACTCATCACAGCTTGGTGCAGTAAGAGGAGTGAGGCAGCAGCGAAGAGTTGTCCAGGAGAGCCGTGAGCTCATCGGGGCTGCGACTGCCGCGCGTGCGAGGACTCGATGACGCCGACTGATACTGATGACAATAAGTGCGATTAGAAAGAAGGAATAGATTTAGGTCATACACGGTGAGGCATGAGATTTGTACCTGAGATTTCATTTTGACTTCTGAGAAGGAGTGCAGAGTAAAATTTCTATTTACGAGAAATAGTACAGATTGAGATTTTCGTTTACAGAAATCAGTAAATTTTGAGATTTTTACATACGACTGGAATTATAAAAAATCTTGTGCTTATTTGAAAAATAGATTAAGATATTTAATTATAAACCGAAGAATTTATCTAAAAATCATTGCTACAGAATGTGTGATACAAACTAATCCTCTCGAAAAATGAGTGTGAGATCAATGGTTCGCCGAAATGAATGGAAAGACGAAGGATTCATCTGCACATAATGAGCAAGAACTTATAACTTTGTCTGCGTTTGATGTAAACAGAAAATGTTCATCTCGATTTGAACAATTCTTTCTTTTTTAAATGCTCACAGGGACCAAACTTGAAAAGCAAGAGAATAAATTAATAGCTGAAAATAATTTATAATCAGGCAAGTGAGGCAACACATACAAAACATTGCGAGATTAAATCAATAATTCATACAAGCTCGAATAGTATGAGGAAATTCCCCGTTATAAACAATTGAGAAATGGTTTACAGGAGAAGTCGTACCTCAGATGAAGACTTATCTTCGTATTCATCGCAGTCAACAATGTCGGTATCGCGTGTGGTATCGTTGTCAATATTCTTAGAGTTGCTTGGAGACCAGAAGCCACAAGTGATGCACACCAGCAGCCAACGGCAGCACCAAGCTGAGGACGTGCGATGAGAAGACCGCGCTGACTGGCTCGGGTAGACAAAGCTGTTGAACACCGCTTGAAGAGGGTTCAACACTGCCTGTTGACGGCACGGAGAGGTTAATGACACAGACTATAACCATCGCTTGAAGAGGGTTCAACACTGCCTGTTGACGGCACGGAGAGGTTAATGACACAGACTATAACCATCGTTCGACAGGTTAGAACTGTCTTAGGCTGGTAAGAAAATTATAATATAGATTAAACATAATTTCTCAATGTGGGACAAACGCACCAAACGTGATTTCGGGAGCATTACAATATGAATTTCTTAGACTTATTAGAGTATTGGTAGGCAGCCTATTAAGCATTGCCGCTATTACGTGGATCGCATCGCTACACTGACCATACAATAACAGAGGAAATGCATGTATGGAAAGCCCTTCCACGGTGTTCAGAATTGCACGGCGTTAGGGCAGCCAGTAAAGCCAGAAAAACTGCAGCGCAACTCACCACGCAGAAAAATCAGGATAGACAATTAAGTAATGCGTAACTGACAGGACTTCTCGGTCACAAACGATTAGGTACGAATAGAATTGACGACGGTAAATGTTTCCGAGACGAAAATGTTAAAGCAACAACCACGCAGCAGCACCATGAGACTACTCGCCATTCATCACGATAACTGACCATGCAGTACCAGAGGACGGTGAGGGCGGTATATGGCAGGTCGTTCCACTCTATCCAGAGCACCGCAGCGTTCACGACGTTAGGCAGCCAGCACAGCCAGAACACGAGGCATAGCAGCAGAAAGCGTCGCCTCACGCCACTCACCACTGCGCGCTCCACGACCGTGTACCTGCAATGTAGAGAAGTGCTTGTAGCTTAATATCTGCCCACAAAAAACGTCCTTATATTTCGTTTAGGACAAGATAAGAAAAGCTAGAAGCCTCAGGCCATATGATCTACGCAGACAACAGGTTCTTATACTTCGTTTAGGAACACAAGTTAAGAAAGCTTGAAGCCTCAGCCCATATGATCTACACTGAGAACAGGTCCTTATATTTCGTTTAGGACAAGAAGATAAGAAAAGCTTGAAGCCTTAGACCATATTATCTTTGCCGATATCTGGTTATTTTTCGTTTATGACAACACGTCTGCAGTGACGATGTAAATCCACAAACAATATCGTAGAATGTTCGAATTTTGGCAGACAGACGAACGGACATGGCGAGCACAATAGTGCATTTTTTCCATAAATGAAAAAATGCGCTAAAAACACAAAACTGGATTTCAAAGTTGATTATAATTTGCTCAAAACATTCAGTAAGGATGGAATGAAGAGATACCAAGATAAATAAAAAGTGGATTCAATGAGCATAATTGATGTTACCTGCCAGTGAGAGCAGCCATGTTGGTATGCAGTGTGTTGGCTGCCACGCCGTACAACACCGGGCACATGCACAGCACACACAGCAGAGGCAGCACGGTACTCAGGTAGTTCGGCAGGAATCTGATGTATGGGTTCGTGGAGCTGCTGTGACACCTGTTAAATAAATTTATCAGTTGTTTAAAATTCATAAATATTGTGGTTAATTTCATAGACATGCATTTATATGATGCAGTTTTGTCTTTTTTTGCACTTGAGCGATATTGAAGGAGAATAAATCTCGTCAGTTCTTAGATAGATGACTACGTATATCAGCAAGCATGGTGGTGCCCTATAACTATGAATGGTTTTGAGGGCTTTACAAAAGTACATGATGGTCCATTTCAAGTTCATTATTACAACACAATGAAGTGTAATAATATATATTGATCCTCATACAACATATTAGATATTAATCCTCATAAAACAGAGATTAGATTGTGATTGAATATTTTAGAAGATATCAAAAAACTCATATGAGTATAGACAATACAAAATTTCTCCTCGCCTGAAGAGTGCATCGTAACTATCTTCCTGGGAACACTAAACATGGTAGTGAACTTTTATTGCCACTTTCTGCAAGTTAGTTATTACGTACTGAACTATGGAAATTATGGTAACCCCTGCTCTAATTAATGTTTCTAAAACTATACTAAGCATAGAGAATAACAAATCACATATCACAGGATTACCTATAAAATTCTTTGAACTAACCTTCTCTACATAACACGCGCATATAGTCAGGTCTTTGAATTAACCTTCCCGAGATAAGCACGCGCATATTGTCAGGTCTTTAAACTAACCTTCCACCCTCCTAGATAGCACGCGCATACAGTCAGGTCTTTGAACTAACCTTCCCTAGATAACACGCGCATATAGTCAGGTCTATGAACTAATCTTCCCTAGATAGCACGCGCATAGAGTCCTGCTATTTATATATATTTCTGAACTGTGAACTCACTTCATGTCAGGAGCATAGAGCCCCAACAGCCCAACAAAGGTGAGAACGGCAGGCACGACCCATGCAACTACGTGGTACCACACGGTATTTGTGTGTGATCCACGCACACTGCGCACGCAGTCCACGCAGTACAGGCATGTCCACATGTATGTGCATGTGTAGAAATAGTGAATCCAGCTCTGCTCAGAAATTATTTTTATTCGCACACATTTAAACATAGATATCAAAGTCGACATATAATATGGAATATATACCAATTAAACAGCTGGTAATAAAGAATGTTAAATGAGTTATTTCAATGTATTAACCATACAGTTACACTAAGTTACCCTAGAAAAATCAACCATAACAAAACCAAACGTAAAGGTGACCAATTTGGTCAGTTTTTGCATGTGATGTGCATAACCTCATCAAGGTTTTATAAAAGGAAATTTATTTGTTATTCCTAACTACCGGTAAATAGAAAGCAAAGGTATGAAAAAAATTGCAGGTATATGCAAGCAGTAAATTGTCATAGTTGTGAACTAGCAATCATAATATGAGAATATTTATATTGATTTAAAATTCATCATTCACACATTATTTCAATACACAATTTTCCATGAATAGTACCTAATAATTTAAGAGAATGGAACAAGTTGCATAAATAACAAAGAAGTAGTATTACTATTAGTAATTAAAGACTCTTCAATTAAAATTTATGTTTAATTAAATTAATTAAACACAAATTTCTAAAATGTGCAATGGAGTTCCTAAGGCAGGGTACTGAGATTGCCTACATTTTTTATCACTTATAATTCCATAGGTACCTAAAATAGCAGAAAATGAAGATAAATAGATTAACAATTGATTTGAATTTAAAAATAATAATAATATTTTAGAGAGTTATCGGAAAAGTCCTTAAATAATAAATAATGCTGATACCATTCTTATATATACCTATGAGAAAACAAGTAATCAAATTAATCCATCATTATAAAAGCTGACGAATGCTGTCATTTAAGGAAGCTTCATAATAAGGTTGAAATTGTTTCAAAAATAATATTATCTTACATTTCATTATTAATGTTAAGAATATTATTTAACCCTCATTTACTAACAATGGGAGAAGGGGTCTGATTAAAAAATCAATATAAAGGTTGAATGAGGAAAATCAATTATAAATGCACAGGAATTTTTGTCATGATAAATAACATCAGTCAGCATAAAGTAATGAGAAAAATGCTTACAAATCCCACACATTAAAATGGCAGAATTTATAAAATCAATATGAATATTTTTGCATGCATTTTTGATAACTTGCAGCCATGAACAAAAATGTAGCAAATATTATTTATAGTTTCCATTTTATATACACTTCCATTTTATATATATTTTATATACACTTTTTGCATGATCAGTTAGACGCTGAAAAAATTTCTTATAGTAACAGTAACATTTTATAAAAACAAAAATTGATTTTTATTTAAAACCAGCAAGCCCACAGATTCAAAGGGCAAAATTTAGAAAATCAATATGAATATTTTTGAATTATTTTTGATAACTCACAGCCATGAAGATGCACACAAGTCGCCCTGATGACAGAGGATCATATTCAGATGCTCCTGTGGAGGCTGCGCTGTCCAAGAGCCACAACAGACTCCTGATGCCAATGCCTGCAGCAGCACACAGATCTGACACTGCTAGCCATCTGCAAAACAAGCAACACTTGAGAAAATTTGATTTCTACTTTCCATTTTACGATTCAGTGAACAATGAACATTCTTAGATTACTATATTATCAGATATTTCATTTATTTCAAAATGATGCTTAACTCTTCAATCTTCATACTTGATATTTTTTCTGCCACAGTGGCATGAACCGAATATGTTGCACAATTGAAATTATTAGAAATAACATCAATTTGCTGAGAAATTATATAAGTAAATAACTGATAAAATATATTCATACTTGACTATGAGAGAGGCTTGAGTTCGCAAGAGACGTGGTCTGCGGCTGGAGACAAAGCTGAGCTGGAGCTGCTGTTGCCACCAGTGCAATACATGGAGCTGAACATAACAATATTGTATTATATGGAGAAATTAAATAGGAAAGCATACAGTAATTATAATAGATTAGAATGGATATTCACTATACAAGCCAAATATACCAATTCCTTTTACAATATATAGATATATACATTACTATCATATATATATTTGTATAATTTGGGTTATTGTGTGACACGTTTGTTAAGATTTTTCGAAAACCGTGTCGCGGTATATTTGTGCTAAACATTAAGCATACTTTAGACAATAGCTCGACATTTTTGGCATATTGTGCGACAAAATGTCGCGCAATAACTGTCTCGGTATGTACCAATGTCGCGGAATTTAGATATGATTAATTTTTGCTAATAGTGCGACACAAAAAAAGATGAACGCTATTATGCAACATGCTAATTAACAAAAATCTTGTTAGGTTAGGGCTAGAATTAGGGTTAGAGGTTTGAAAAATGTTTTTTTAGACACTTTTTACAATTTTACTAAGGTTAGGTCCAGCCAGGAAAGGTTCTATTACATTAAATAACTAATTGAAAAACATCGACTAATCACTGTCGCGGAATTACCAATGTATAGCAATATATATATATATATATAATATAAATCCTTATCAAAAATTAAATGAATGCAAGATTTCTTACATGATCAGTTAGTGATTTAGACACCAAAAAATTCATTATAGTTACAGGAACATCTTATAAAAAAGCAAAAATTGATTTTTATTTAAAACCAGCAAGCAGCCAAATAACTGATTATTTTCCTTGTTCAAATTTAAAACTTTACTAGTATTTATCACAACCAAAGGCTTAAATTTATCAACTTACCTGCCAGAGAGCACCACACACTCCCACAACAGAGGCTGCCAGGCACACGCTGTTGTATTCCACAGTGCGGAATGTGCTCAGAAATTGCTTGGTCAGCTCAGAAGTGATAGGCACACAACAAAGAGACTCAACAATTGGGCTGGCCATTTATGCCATATTACCTATTTTATTACTATGAACAATAACTGAAGGAGTTATTAATTATCACTAGGTATAAATATAAAGTTATTATCAATGCAGCTAGATTGAATGTTATAATTGAGGCTAAATATTTGTGGATTAAAACTAAATTTTTGAAGCTTAAATTCTATAGTGATCTTGGATTTGCTATTATGCTGATTACTTCTAAATTGATAATTACAATTATTACATTAATCTAATTACCTGGAATAAAATATAGGTAACAGTTTGCATGTCATTGGCAACATTAGGGTAAACGCGGTATATTCCGTCATAGTAGGTAATTCTGTCACCTCTTTAGTTTTTCCTTTATATTAAGCTTTGTTTTAGTTCCATGCTTCCTTGATGGTTGAAATGGTGACGTCATACATTTGCGTGTCGAACTAATGCCAAAGCACTAGGTCTTGGCCATCCAGTGGGAAAATATTGAGATCCAAAGAGAGATGATGCACGCTACCCAGTGAGATCATCGAAAAATGTGTCAAATTTGACAGTTGACCTTGCTCTACCAAATAGTGAATAACTGTTTGTATAGGAAGAATATTATGGTTTGAGACTTTTAAATACGTCTGTGAATATATTAGAAATCCTTTAAGTATACTTGTATTTGCTGATTTCAAGTGGTAAATAAATTAATAGATGATTAAGTTGAGAAATGGATTTAACCCAAATCTCTAATTTTACCCTTAAACAGTCAAACGGCACCAATAAAATTTGTCTCTACTGTAAGTTCAGCACGTGTTAATATACAGTCTGACCGCTTTGACATGACCGCAACTATGCGCGATCTTCAACAAATGTTTTGTTTATTTGTTTACATTACGATGTTCATGTTTTTTCTGCAAGATATTTTTGGTGGAAACGGTAAAGCAATGCGGATTGCGGAAGTTGAAAATTTTATGAAATGACATGTTTGCGAAGTGCAAACCGCGATTTTTTAATCAAACAAAAATTTATGACATTCGAGCCGCGAGATTTCATACCTACTGAAATTATATGATATTAGAGCCGCGATATTTCAGACAAAAATAGGACTTTTCCAGACTAGGCGCGTGCCGCGTAGTACGGTGTTTTGCGAGTCAAATAAAGCGAACAGAACTCGAGTAACGCATACGGTTATTTTTTTATAGTTTTTCATTTCGATGCGTCCTTAATGTGACGGAATATACCGCGCTTAGCCGTTTACCCTACCTCAATAAACAACAACACCAGAAAAAAAAAGTTTCAAATGTCACAGAATATTAGTATCAATCATTCCAAATCCAACATCTAAAAAATATTAAAAACTAAAGAAATAACTCAACAGCCTAAACATCTGGAGAATGGTCACACAGCTAGTGACATTCAGAGATTTTTTAGACTTGTTACTTTTGTCATTTTTAATTTCCTTATTTACTCAAGATCATAGTGGCAAAGCAGAGAGTTTTTTTAGACTCTGTCTCAAGTTCATTTTTGAGTCCTATAAGTAGACAAGCAAAGTATCATGGATACCAGCATTATAATATATAAGAAATTGGTTTAGATCTTGAGTAAATAAGGATATTAAAAATGAACTGATTCTAAAAAATCTCTGGTTTGTCACTATGCTCAAGATTTAATGCAATGTCTTATGATTTATAATGCTGGTATGTGGTATCTATGATAGGTAGCCTACTTTACTGTTTTACCTAACTTAAAGAACTCAAAAATGAACTTGAGGATGAATCTAAAAAAGCCTCTGTTTTGATACTAGCTATGCTTTGAGGCGGCTGAGTTTGAGTCTTTGAGGATCCTTCAGATACAGTTGTGTGTGAAAAATCTACTGGGAGAGATAGCTAATCAGAATTAAACCAAAGGGGGGAAATAAAAATTGAAGTGGAAGTAAGGAGGCAAGGAACTCAGATTTGCAGTGAAACCTAGATACCTAGGTAGCAATGGTATGGCCATATGACTGATGATATGAGTCGAGGAACCAAACTGTTAAGGAGCTAAAGGAGGTATGTTGTTCTAGGATAATGGGAGGCACAATTGCAATAGACTAAATTAACAGTGATTAGACTCAATAGCATAAGTCCGATATTGTATTACAGACTTACAGTCACCGTCACTCACTCACTGTCACACTCACAGCCTCACATTAACACTAAGCCTCACAGCCTCTGAGCCTCACACTAAACAGGTCATTCATGGATGCAAATTGCCAGGACGCAATATCAATTGCGGAATTAAAATTTGCACTACCTACTATGATACTATCGAAAGGTTTCAAGGTAATTTATCATGTTTTAAGGTGAGGAAATGAACGCGTCTCGTCTGACTAGTGACTCGCGCCAATCAACTATCAACAAAATTTCAAGGGCAACAGCTGATGATACCCAGGAAAGTGAAACCGCGTTGTGACGGTCTGGGAGTACGTTTTTGATGGCACAGTTGTACACGGAGACGGACCATGCAGTATCGTTTCGGCAGTGGTAGAAGGTTGATGTTTCTAGTCTCTCTCTATAACCTGAATAAAGATATATAATGAAAGGAATACACTTATATGGCAAACAAGTGCATTTCAAAAAATAAATTCGCTTGTTTGTGAGGTTTTTATTTGTAACTCGACCAAAATATAAAGTTTTTTTGCTATTCTCTATTGTACGCGGATCCGCGATTTTTGAAGGAAGCCGGGTGATGTATCCTATTGCGTCTTGTCTAAAAATGACACAAAAAAATTGCACTACATTGAATGTGATAAATTTATTGATGCCGACACACTTAGCAGAGCCGATGGTTCTGTCATATAACTGCCTTTTCTCAAATCAAAAATTCTCTCAACTTGCTTCCCAAAAGGTTTTCCTGTCATCTCCGGTTTCTATTTTTTCTTCACGATGAAGTTTTGGAAGAGAACATGTCTTCTTTTGTGCTGTTATGGATATTTTAAAGAATTACGTCCGTCAGAACCATTTTTGACCGAGTACCTTACAGGGCCGGTGCACAACCTCACTGAAGAGCAGGTTTGTTTTTTCTATATTGTTATTTGATGAAACTTTATGAAATAAAATATTTCGGACAAACAAAATTTTGTGCAGTGCAATATTGAATTTTTTAAGTTACCGTGAATGTAATTTCCAGAAATAGTGATAATTTGACGAACTTAAAATTACTTTAATATATCGGGCCCATCGGTTGTCTACCTTCAAATACACCTACCATACACCTCACGCTCTCAACACCGATATTGCATCATACCTACACTGCACTAAACGTTAGCCTATGTATTCCATCTATAGCTCTTGTACGACACCACAGTTTCAGACCGATATTTAAATGTATTTTCGTTGACGCTATTAAGTGTTATATCCACTACAGTGTAAAAAAATACTAATAAATAATAAAATACAGAGTGATTCTCGGAAACTTCCTGATATGAAGGCCCAATAAAAAAAGAACTGTTAAAGATATCATTACAATATGAACTTCATTGAAAAAGGCAAGACCTGAATTTTTGGATCACTTAGTTTTAAAGATGACCTCGGACAAATGACTGCCTTCATTGTCAATGCATTCTGTTAGTCGATTTTTGAAGTTGCTTTCAACTCGCTGAAGCGTATTGACGGGTATGTTGGCGATGGCTTGGCATATGTTCAAATGAGGTAGGGTCTTGGACAGTCATTGTAAACAATTGATTTAAAATAACCGCATAAAAAATCACACGAACTTTAGCTAAACTTCGAGATTATTAAAATTCAAGCACATCTCACTGTGGATAAATCATGTAATATATTTTTTAAAGAGTCTCTCGCACACTTGCGTTACATAAGAACCTCAACACCTACATAGGTACATATCGGCTCGCACCCACACTCTCATTTATATGTATGTATAAAATCAAGCCATCCTTATCAGTTACGGAATCCATACCTTGTCAACATAATAATCACCGTAGTTTTCATTTCACGTCTCGCAGGTATTATACGAAGTGTACCCGGTATGGACATACTCGTACATGTCGCTCTTGGTGCTGGTTTTCCTGTTCACGGATTTCCTAAGATACAAAGCGGTGATCGTATTCGAAGCGGTGGCGTACGTAGCCACGTATCTGCTCCTGCTCTTCGCCAGAGGCGTCCACTGGATGCAGTTCATGGAATTCTGTTATGGAATTGTGTCTGCCACAGAGGTCGCCTACTATACCTACATGTATGCTCAGGTAATATGCTGGCCTACATGTATGCTCAGGTAATATGCTGGCCTACATNTGTGTATAAGAGACAGGGCCTACATGTATGCTGAGGTACTATGCTGGCGTACATGTATGCTCAGGTAAAATGCTGGCCTACATGTATGCTGAGGTACTATGCTGGCGTACATGTATGCTCAGGTAAATTGCTGGCCTACATGTATGCTGAGGTACTATGCTGGCGTACATGTATGCTGAGGTACTATGCTGGCGTACATGTATGCTCAGGTAAGGTGTATGCTCAAGGTATGAGGTAAAATGAATGGCTCAACGTTTTGACAACAAACTCTTTCGAGTCAAAAGTCTAACTCGTTCATTCGTGTTGAAATTTCTCTCCCTGTTGGGTTTTTGAATCACCTCCGAAATGAACGCCTAACCAAGAACTTGAATACAAAGATCTGTCAATAGATTACTACAGACCTCTAAAGACCTCTACTATAAAGACCTCTTACTATTGTAAACAAGTTTTAAAGAGGCGATCAATGACTATTATTGTATTTTTTTAACAATATCATTGTATGTTTTAAAAAAATGATTAATTACAATATAATATTATTATATTGTTATGCCATATCTATGTATTTATAATAAAGATCTGTTATGTTGCTATGCACTCGACGTACTTCAGGTATCAGGCCGGTATTATCAGCGGGTGTCGAGCTTCACGCGCACTGCGGTGCTCTTCGGCAGGTTCTGTGCCGGACTGCTGGGCCAGGTGAGCACATACTTTACTGAATAATAGAGTCATTATACTGAATAATGCAGCATTGAGACTGATAATTCGAAATTTTGATTGCATAAACTATTATTTCAAATGTAGACAGCAGCAGTTACAGCCTTTTGAACTGCAAAAAAATGTTTCACGACGCAGTTTTTTCGCTCCAATAGGTAGTATTTTGACGGGCGCAATGCTGATTTTTTTCCCGTACGTTTACTTTGAATTAATAACAGAGTTCACTTACAAGATTGTTACCTACGCACCAAACCATTGATCTTCTACTGTTATTATGGCGATCCCAAACGTACTTGTAGTAATTTTTTTCATACTGCGTTCAGTTTCAACTAGGAATTCCGTGCAGTAACATTGTTCCTGTACATCAACAACATGTTTTGTAATTGACCGCTCCGAGGCGAGGAGTTTTCATTTGTGTTCCTTTTTAACGTATTTTCTCATTTATGGAAAAAATGCACTATTGTGCTCGTCATGTCCGTCTGTCCATCCGTGATTTCACGTTTTCGTCGACGAGAAAATGCGCTCTCTGTCACTCACTGCAGTGAGTACTGAGTAATATTTTTTTTTGCTTTCTCGCAGATATTGACTTTATTTGCTGACGCAAGCGTCTTGTTGCCGTCCTCGAATCAGTTTTTATTTACGCCTTATTTAATTCATGCTTACCGTGCAATTTTGAAAGTTTTTACTAGTTACCGACACAGACGTAATATACTTATTTAAGTTGAACTGTCAACACACAATTTTAATCCGTGATGCTCAACTGTTCACATACTTTATGCTAATGAGTATGAGTTTTCCAAGCGACATTTATTATAATATTACAACGTATCAATATACATTTTTCACAAAAAATACCTAGAAAGCCCGCAGTTAAGAACTTGTGTCTAATTATCCAAATAAATGCTATATGTTAAATGAACTGGATGGACTAGCTGTATGTGCTATATAATTAATATACCTATATTTGCTATATATGTGAGACGAACTAAATGACCCATATGTGCTAAATAATTAACAAATATGCCGTATGCGAGGCAGACTAGATGGACTATATAATTATGAAGCTATGCAGGAGCATATGTTCAGTCTTAAAATGCCTAGCAAATTACGGAGCAGGCAATAAGTCCAGCAGCTATCTTAATCAATAGTCAGTCATGGAAAGATCGGGTTCCAAAGGCCGGATCCCTTGTGAATCAAGTCACGAAAAATTCAAAAATCGGCAACAGGCCATGACATTTCTATTCTATTCTATTCCATATGCTATATAATTAAGATGTCTGCTATAAGTGATCATATATGTGCAGATCCTGTACTCGACCGGCCTGATGGACGCCCACACTCTAAACTACGTGTCTTTGGGCTCGTTTGTGATCGCGTTTGGGTTTGCAGTCGCTCTGCCCCCGGTCAAACACAGCATTTATTTCCACAGAGCTGACGACGATCAACTTAAGGAAAGACCTGAATTAACATTTAATTCTGATACTGGAAATAATATTAATTCGCGCGTTAAGATAAGCGTTCAAGATTTTCAAGTAGAAACGAACGGGGTTGATAACAAAGATGCGGGCGTGATAAGTTGCGGTGACAAATCAACTGCTCTGAACGAACTGGAAAAAGTAGTTGAAAATCAGAACGATGATTTGTGTGCTGTTGAAACGTATGATGCCACAGCGAGTAGTCATCACAGCCCTACTGATGTTGAACTTATCAATCACAAAGCTGAAGAATCTCCTCCTAGCCTCGGCTATCTTCCATCTTCTACAAACTTCACTTCCAAGAAGAGCATCGAGACAACCATCGCACTTGAGCAGCCATCGCAATACACTCTTGCAGGTTTCAAGAAGGTACGGTAGTACGAATTAATCGCTCTGTTACCACGAAATAACTCTCTGTTTCTGCACTTATTTGTACAATCTTCACTTCTCCGTAATTATTATCAAATTTCCATTTGTTTTTTAATTTTAGGTACGAATTAATTAGTTGTGTTTTAAAGTTTTTAACTATTTATTTGATTTTAATTTCATCACATAAAACTATGTCTGAACATTTCTCAGCGTGACTGAGACTGTTTTTTTTAATGTGCGACTACGACTGAATATTTTATCGGCGACTGAAATTTTTATTGCGCGACTAAAACTCGGCCATTTATGGCGCAACCAAGGCAGATTATTGTAATGCATGTCTTTTTATGGAATTCCCATGACGTGCCTCGACTGTACGTGCTATATAATTAATATACATGCTATATGTGAGACGGACTAAATGTTATATATGTGCTATATAATTAACAAATATAAAAGAGTCACTAGATTGCTTTAATCGCAGATTCACTAGAAATTTAAAAGCGAAGAAAACACCACAAAAATTTAGCATATCTCTTTTGAAAACGTTTCGGAGACCAGCTCCATCGTCAGTTCGATAAATCTAGAACACAGATAAATGCAGAAAATTAGTTTGGAGTTAATAAAAAAAACACAAACAGAAGTTAAAAACCTAAATTTACAGACAAAGGGCAGAATAATAAAGTAAGTACCTATCTATTCACAATTTCTAATGGATAAGAACTATAGGCAGCATTTAAACNAGTTCTTATCCATTAGAAATTGTGAATAGATAGGTACTTACTTTATTATTCTGCCCTTTGTCTGTAAATTTAGGTTTTTAACTTCTGTTTGTGTTTTTTTTTATTAACTCCAAACTAATTTTCTGCATTTATCTGTGTTCTAGATTTATCGAACTGACGATGGAGCTGGTCTCCGAAACGTTTTCAAAAGAGATATGCTAAATTTTTGTGGTGTTTTCTTCGCTTTTAAATTTCTAATTAACAAATATACCATATGTGAGGCGCAGTAGATGGACTATATATATGCTATATAATTAACATATTTGCTATATGTGAGAATACAGCAAGTTACAGTTCATAGCTTAAGAAACGAAGACATTAATTTCAGTTAGGCGAAAAGAACGGAAAACGACAACCGCGTTTAATAAGATATCTAACGCACGACCTAATTATAACTCTGCATTTTATGGCGCGATCAAGACAGGATATTGTATTGCATGTTTTTATGGAATTTTGATGGATGTTTCTAGCGCATTTTCTCATTTATGGAAAAAATGCACTATTGTGCTCGCCATGTCCGTCTGTCTGTCTGTCTGTCCGTCCGTCCGTGACCTCAAGTTTTCGTCGACGAGAAAATGCGTTCTCTGTCACTCCCTGCAGTGAGTACTGAGTTATATTTTTTATGTATTCTTTTCATGGATTTTTTATGTAATTTGCATGACGTGCCTGTACACGCGCAGGCCATGGGGTTGTTGTGGCTAGACATGAGGTTTGCGTACAACTTATTTCCATGACGTGTCTGTAAGTGCGCAGGCCATGGGGCTGTTGTGGCTGGACATGAGGTTCGCGTACAGCAACGAGCACCTGGTGCGCTGGTCGTGCTGGGGCGCCGCTGCCACCTGCGGATTCCTGCAGGTCATCTCGTGTACACCTGCTCTAGTGTATTTATTTATATCTCTTAATAATTATACAATAATATTATTAATATCCTTAATTAATTATCTAGACACACACTAAATACTACACTAAATTAAGTTTATACTAAAAAATCATTAAATTTTATTTTGTACTAAATTTACTTACTAAATTTTTAAGTTTACTACACTAAATTTTTACGTAGTTTATTTTTACGCAAAAATGTATTCAATTAATTGTCAGTTAATCTTTGATAAGAAAAGAGAAATTTAATCTTCTACATTAAATTTAAATGAATTATTTCATTAATACAACGAAGTCTACGTACACTCAATATGATATAATGTCGCGTATGGTCGCCTCTTGTGTTAGAGTTCATAAGCTTAAGAAATAAAGACATTAACTTCAGTTAGGCTAAAAGAACGAAAAACGCGAACCGCTTTTAATAAGTATCTAATGTTGTTTAATAATTACCTATCAGTTCATGCTGTTTAATGGACATTATGTTATCGTATAAACATTTGATTTGTTATCCTCAAACACATCTTTGGTATGACACTTTTTCGTAGTTCTTCAAAAGCCTTGATTTCGACTGTCCCACAATTGACCGTCGAACACTTATAAGCCGCTATATTTCATTAAGTACAATATAAACGGAATATTCATTTCCTGTTGCAATGATGTGTTCTAAGATAGTGTCCCTTGAGCACGGATAAGTGTATACCTTTAAGTCGCATATTTTAAAAAGAGGAATATGAAGAAATTAATTGTTTCCTGTTGTCGTAAAGTGTATTGATTCAGTATCCCTTTAAACACAGATAATTTTCCTGTAATTTAACAAGGTAATTTTGCGGTAAAGTGTATTGAGTCAATGCCCCTTTAAACACAGATAATTTTCCTGTAATTTAACAAGGTAATTTTGCGGTAAAGTGTATTGAGTCAATGCCCCTTTAAACACAGATAATTTCCCTGTAATTTAACAAGGTAATATTGCGGTAAAGTGTATTGAGTCAATGCCCCTTTAAACACAGATAATTTTCCTGTAATTTAACAAGGTAATATTGCGGCGCAGATCCTGAACTACATCCAGATGCTCTACGAGAAAGTCCTGCCGCCAGACCAACCCTTGTACAGCGGCGCTATCGACGCTCTTAGCACCGCATGCGGTCAGTTCACTCTTATTATTTACCAATATACATTTGATAATATATTATTGAAATATAATCTATTAGTATTTTCTATGATATAGAGAATAATGTGAAACTAATCCTCTCGTCGTAAGTTCTTTAATAAACATTTGACATAATGGTTTATTCTCGTCTTCACCAATAGGCATCTGATATAGGAATAACGTTGAATAAAGGATTTCACAAGAAGCCAACTCTTAAATTATCTTTCTTTCGACGCCTTTTATCTTGTGTACTCGCACCACCTCATCTTTTATCATCAGTGCTCATGCTCTAGTATACATACTCGTATGATATGAAATATTTTCTCCAGTTTTGTGAACAACGTGAAAAGTCTCCGTTTGTTTGTATGAATTATTTTGTTTCATATGAAGTTTGTTTTATAAGAAGTATGTTGTACGATATAATGAACAACATGAAAAGCCTCCGTTTGTTTTGTAATAGATTTATTGCCGACGACCTAAGACAAGGTCACATTCAAGGTCCGATAATCGGTAATTTCATAACGATTATCATTTTAAGTTATCGTGTTTTCTGATTCCTTATCATCAGTGTCCTGTTGTCTGCATATTATTTCGTCTTATCTCTAGAATTTTTTTTACCTTAACGTGCATATCTCGGCAGGAGTTGTCAAGCCAATCAAAGTCTAGACGTGTTTTCTCATTAATATTGCGTGACATTGATAGGAGACATAAGGTGACAGGCTTATGATCAGGGTACTTTTATAAATATTATCAGGTATACAGTCTTAGATAACGGACACGAGAACCGAGTGTTGCATAATATTCTCAAAATATCGTAAAAACATCATTTGAAAAATTATAAAGATTAGCGGAGTAGTTCAGATTATAGAACTTGTGTTGCCGGAAATTGGATACTGGCCCAGCGGTTAAAGTTCAGAGTACCAAAATTGGAGCAAAGATGCGCGGGTTCGATCCCACCTCTGTGCGCCAGTTTCTGGTCAGAATCGGCAAGGAGGCCGGGCGGTTTAAGCAAAGCAAAATTGGTGCAGTGAGTTGCGAGTTGAAGACCACAACAAGCTTTGAATGTTCTGCGATTTAGGAATCGGCGACAGGCCTGCGGCCTAATAAACGCTGATCGCTGCATTATTGTTATTATATTAAAATCTGGCTGAAACGCAGTAATGTTGGAGCCTTACAAAAACCAATTTCGTAAAATATTTGTTTAAAATTTCCCGTCGCGAATGCTTCACGTCATGCTTATCAGGGACTAAATTAACCTAGAAGAGGAAAACCAATTAACAATCCTCATGCTCAGATACATCGGCGATACAGTCAGTAAATTTATCATGATTGGTGTAATCTCGACCCTGCTACGTATATTTGCTTTTCTTGATATAAATTCGCTACAAAATGTTGGTCAAAATGGTTTGAACAATGTTGGGAGAATGTATAGAAGATTAGTAGAGTATATGGACAACGTTTAATTGTAACTTTATACAGGGTAATTCACTGAAACTTCCTGATTTGAAGCTGAATAAAAAAAACTATAGTAAAGGTATCACTACAATATGTATTTTATTGAAAAAGACATCACCTGAATTTTTGGATCATTTAGTTTTAACGATGACAACGGACAAATGACGGCCCCATTGTCAATGCATTCAGTTAGTCGATTTTTGAAGTTCCGTTCAACTCGCTGAAGCGTATTGACGGGTATGTTGGCGATGGCTTGGCGTATGTTCTATAAATGAGGTAGGGTCCTGGACAGTCATTGTAAACAATTTATTGAAGATGCAGTGCGGAGAATGCAGAAACGCCTCTCTCACTCTCTCTACGTTTTCGGGTGTTGTTGCTAACCCCCAGACCCTCTTGCATTCACACTTATAACACTTGCCCTAAATGTTTTCACCCACTTAACAATCGATTTCCGAGCATGAACCCGGCCTGAAGGACGAATGCGGAACCGAGTACGGAATGCTATAGTTGAATAGCAATAATTTATTGGCCACTAGTAAAGTGCCCCTCAACAACAAACGCACGCGGCTTGTGACTTGTCCTATCTATGCAAAGTGGCAATTGACTTGGCGGGACACAAAACTCCATGACTTTGCCTTGCATATATGAAATGTTCTCCGCCATTTTCAAAGAACATTTGGCTGCTTGGCGCGGAATACAAAACAAGAAGTTTCTGTGAATCACCCTGTACTTCGTGAGGTCCGAAGAAATTGTGATGTTGTCTCCCAAGACGAGGAGATCGATTCTCACGATAGTATTTACGAAAGCGCGATGGTATTAAAATAAACTTAGAAACAACTTGAATACTTATGAAGATTAGCGGCTGTAGTGAAATTTTTTCACTAGCCGACGTAAATAAACTGACTGACCGCTTAACCGACGTAAATGAGTTTCTAAGAACATCTGATGTACTTTTCTTCACGTCAATATAATGTGCTCTCTTTTGAATTGGATTCTACCTGCCTTACATCGCGGGTTTTATATCGCTTACTTACCAGCAAAAGCGATTTGTTTGCAGACTTTCGTGGAACTAAACCCGGATAACCTCAATCAAATTTGAACTCATTTTTGCATTTAAGAGCCCTGATCATATATTCGGCTTTAAGAAACATATAATAATTTGTGTGTGCGAAGAAAGTCAAGAAACGCAAGCGCACCTTTTACTTGATGAATTACACAAATCACGTGAATCGCAATCGTACATTTGATTGACATTCTCCGCAATTGATCGGTTGACTTAATTAAACAGCGATGGGCAGGGCAAACGTTAAGGGGAAATAATATTCCAAAGTTTAGCATTCTACGCAATGAAGATAAATTATTTTTGTTTGCAGGTGCTTTAGCAACGTTGTCTGTGGCGTACGTCTCCGTGGACTTCGGTGCCAAGTGGGAATGGATTTTGGGCGGCGTGGCGTTCATCCAAGGCTCGCTGCTTGTCATCATGGGCACGACAAACAGCATCTGGGTGGTGTACGCGGGCTTTACAGTCTACAGGATCTCACACGAGTTCCTCATCACCATCACTGGGTATGATGGCAATTAAATTTCATTAATGAGCTTCTAATACAGACATCTACTAGGTGGCGCGTGCTATAATCAGCATTGCCTCAATACTGTAGTTCATGCTTTATAAAGTTTCATGCTGTATCGAATTACAGTTAACAATTTTAACTTATTAATTGAAGAGGTTTAATTTTTGTGCACCAGATATCAAGTGGCGCGCGTGCTGCGGAGCGACAGCTACGGGCTGGTCGTCGGTCTGAACATGTTCGTGGCGCTCGTCATGCAGACCGTCCTCACTATCGTCGTCGTCGATGTCATGCAGATAGAGATCGGCATTCAGGTGCGTGGAAATACCGTGCGGATCATTAATTTATTCATTATTATTGGCAGATTGGATTCAATTTAATCAATATAAATTGACAAATCGATAAGGGAACTCAACTTCGTGCTAGTTTAGCACTGATAATCAATTGGAATAAGGACACTAAAATTTACTTTCACAAAAAGGCAATATAAATTAAAATTAGGATAAAAAATTTGGCATTCAGGCGCGTGAAAATTCAATGCGGATGAACGATTTAATCGATTTAAATTGGCAGATCGAAAACTCAATTTCGTGATATCTTAATGCAGGTAATCAGTTGGAATAAACACTTTAAAATGTAGCTGAAGCACTAACGATGCCGTATAAAGTATAATTAGGATAAAGAATTAGGCATTCTTGTACGTGAAAAGGCAACCAAGGTCCAATTAAAAAATGTAAACTGGAATATCGCTAAAAATTTCTTTCCAACGAAACTAATCAAAGTTAATCAATTAAAATTTGAAAAGCATTCAGGTGTGTGAAAATGCATCAAAGTTGATCATTAAAAATTAGGAAATATACATTTGGATTTTTAGTCATGATATAAAATAAAATGTATAAAAAAAATTTTTAAAGACCACGTTTTTCATGTGGACTCAAAAGTAGAAAATAATTTTTCGGCAGCTACTGAGATCTGTCTGCTTTCATTCTCTTGGTCTTTTGTATTTCAGTTAAAATATTTTACAACATCTAAAACGAAAAACGTGGGGCGCATATGTACCTGTCTCTTATACACATCTAGATGTGTATAAGAGACAGTTGTAAATCAAATTTCAAGTTATTGTAAAATCTTTTCTTCCCAGTTTTGCACTGCCTCGCTATCTTCCTACTAAGAATAAAATTTCAGGCCAATGTAATATCGCGACACTATAAGTATCCTGGATACGAGTCTCAACTGCAAAAATATGTATATTAACGGCGCCTTGCTGCAAACACACGCATAAGTACACCGACAAAATCCGACAAATACCTGTAAGATTAGCTTAGTTTATACAGTTAGTTAGTTTACATACTAATGATACAAGACAAATACTCGTTAGATTAGCTTAGTTTAAACAGTTAGTTAGTTTACATACTAATGATACAAGACAAATNTTTTAGTCCACATGAAAAACGTGGTCTTTAAAAATTTTTTTTATACATTTTATTTATCGTCATTATTCAAATGTAGTCAAATGATACTATGATAATTTAGTTTCATAACAATTTATTTTTAATCTAGATCTGTTTAAATTCGTTAAAAAATTCATTCATGCATTAAATTCACGACGTAGTAAATATCAACTATGAACAAAGGTTTTTAACCTCTGTGATGACATTGCACTGCATGCCTTCAAGTTGCTGTTTTTACTCTATTTAAAAATTATTATCATATAGTACTAGAGAGCATATAAATGATGGTGGGGAAAATGAATTACAATGAGAGCCAATGTCCCACAGCCAGTCAGCGGTGAAATTTTCCCGTTATCCAAGCTCGCCAAAAATTGCGACCTCGACTTGTTTTGTGACCTTCAATTCGACTTTTTTGTTTCATGAAATGAATATTTTTAGCACTGAATTACAGCGTCACATTATTTGAAATGACAATGGCAGCTGAGACCAATTTAACGAGGCAACATTATGCTTCTCGTGCTATCATCTCATGCTCAATGCAGCTGCACTTCTTCACAGTTTGTGATCTATGGCGTATTTTGCATTTTATTACAGTTTGTGATGTCCGGCGTAAACTGCATTTTATTTCAGTTTGTGATGTCCGGCGTAAACTGCATTTTATTTCAGTTTGTGATCTACAGGATATTTTGCATTTTATTACAGTTTGTGATGGACGGCGTATAATGCATTTCATTGCCAAATGACACAAACGGAACCGGGGCGAAAGCCCCCGTTTGTCCGCGCCACTTCGCGTTTTGTGTTTGGTACTTGCATTTGAATACTCATATTTTGCATGTTATTAGTTTGTGATCTACGGCGTATAATGCATTTCATTTCAGTTTGTGATCTACGGCGTATTTTGCATGTTATTAGTTTGTGATCTACGGCGTATAATGCATTTAATTTCAGTTTGTGATCTACGACGTATTTTGCATTTTATTACAGTTTGTGATGGACGGCTTGGACGGCAGTTTGTGATGGACGGCTGCACTTCATTTTAGTTTGTAATCAGTAAAATATACTGCATTTTCCTACAGTTTGTGATTAATAAGATAAACCGCATTTCCCTACAGTTTGTGATCAATAACATACACGGCATTTCCCTACAGTTTGACATCAATAAGATATACCGCATTTCCCAACAGTTTGTGATCACTAACATATACTGCATTTCGTCACAGTTTGTGATCAATAACATATACGGCATTTCCCTACAGTTAGTGATCAATGACATATCCGGTATTTTGCCACAGTTTGTGATCAATAACGTATACTGCAAATCCCTACAGTTTGTGATCAATAACTTATACTGCATTTAACTACAGCTTGTAATCTATGGTTTATACTGCATTTATTTACAGTTTGTGATCTACGGCGTATACTACGCTGGTCTGTCGCTGCTCTTCCTCACGCTGGCGTCCTACAGACTTGGTCGTTATGGCTGTAGTGCTGAAGATGTATCGCCTCCGCCTGCTGCAACGAACGATGCTGTCACTCTATGAACTTGGAGCAGTTACGGCTACTCTGTTTAAAAGTTGCCTCTGTTAAGTTGCTGTTGTAAATTTTGTTTTGCTGCGACTCTTTAGCTAGAATTATACAGTAGTTGCAGATCAGAGCTTAAGCAAATGTCAATGTGGCTTTGATGCTGCAGCTGATGCGTACTTAGAATCGCGGCTGCAATACGGGAGCTAATAAGTACATATATAGATGCGGGTGTAATGTTTTAGTTGTGTCGCTTGAGACCTTAGCAGCTACTATTGTTGGGTCAAATGTCCCTTAAGGGACTGTGCACCCAAAAAGGAACGTTTGTACGTAGGCTGGCAGTAATAATATTGGTCAGCCTCATTCATATTGAAATTCGTTGACCTCATGTTGATCAACATAGCTGAGCATGGTTTTATGAGAGGTGAGCGTGTTTCAAGTGACGCACGAACTGCGCTCTCTATAAGTTAGCATTGTTGAGTTTTGCATGATAAAAATTCCTTAAACGCTAATCAGTTTTGTAAATTGACTTGAAGGTTAGGGTGTAGTAAGAGCTGGCTCAGAGCAATATATTTAAATAAATTCAACGTATTATGAGATATCAAATTATTCATCAAAATGGATGCTCTGTATAAATTTTTTAACACTTTCGACCGTACATTAATTTTAGTACAAAGTCTAGCATAATTTTCTAATTCAAATATTTTTTCTGCAATTTTCTGTCTATTACCAAAGCTAGCGCAGCTACTGATCACGAATTCTTCGAAGACGAAGAATTATGAAATTTAGATGCTTGTAATGGGAATGCACAGATTTTGTTGGAAGCGTTACTGATTCAATCTGTTATCATTTAACTTTATGTGAAAGCTTGAGTTTGTTTAGCCATTTAAGAGGCATTCCAGGCTCATACTTCTCGCACCTAAATAAAATATCTGCTTCCAACTTTGTTTCGTCCAGCGCTTAAACGACAACATTAGTGACAATTTCCGAGGATTATATTCCTGTATTTTACTTCCATTATTTATCAACTTTACTTGGACCAAAGTACAGACGAATGTATTGTATATATATTGTACAAGTGTATCTAGTCTAAATAGTAATTTGTTGGTCAATTGAAACGAGTTGGAGGGTTCGACACCTGTAACCAGTCGTCGAAATTCTTGTCGATCGGCAAGGGTGGAGGGCGGTCAAGTATCGGCGATAGGTCAACATGGAATAATTAAAGCTGACATCACTTGATTGTAACATTATAATATATTTAATTATGTTACAAGTGAAATGACGAAGCAGTAAAGCAAACGACTCTCGTAATACAAAATTATAACGAAATTTATTCATTGATTTGCCTCTCGGTGGCCTGGGGCGGTAAATATAATCGGGAGCATTACTTTCAACAATAGTTACGAGTATAAAACTTTGTCAGCCAATTATTAACTGTATATCAAGCTAAACTTACCAATCATAGGCGAGAAATCTGCCGCTACGCGTTCTTAGGCCGCTATGTGTACTTAGCGAGTTTTGATAATACGCCCTCTGGAATATGCTATGTTGGCCAACTCGTTGCGGTGTGTCGTTGGTGTACCTGACAGATAGTTGGATGAAGATTCGCAGATGCATTTGTTCAGCAACAAGGCTGTGCTTAGTTTATATTATCATCTATATTCATGTTGTTAAGTAACTGATTCAACCCATAAACGTAACATTAGTAAACAATTTTTTGGCGCGTATCAACTTTCATTTTTTGCTTTCCGAGCTTCAGATCAGGCCGATGTTGTTTTGGTATTGTCGGTTAGAGCACAAATGTTATCGAGTCTACTTTCATGGACCCTAACAGACATGATAATTAATTCCCACGAAGGGAATTTTTGTGTAATTTTAATTTTTAAAACTATGTCAAATGAAGAATGTATTATATCGAATAAACTGAAATGCTGAGTGTGTTTGAATTTTCATTTTGTTCGGTTTGCCTGACTACGGTGAACTTTTGTGAGAGTAGTGCGTCAATCGCACGAAAATTATGATGTGAACTATGAACTTAGCCTGTCTAAAAAAAATTGATTGCGACTTTGTTAAATTGATTAATTGAAAAAATTGATTGTCTTTGTGTGACATAACATTGTAGTTCTAACAAAAAAAAAAAAAACACAGCCATAGGTGATATTCGTTAAAATATAACTGTTTAACAATTCCTGCATTATGCTCATTATTACGTAAAATATTTTGTGCTTTAATCATAGTAAGTTTTCATTCAATGTGAACAATTTATGTAGAGTTCCCAAAGAGCAAGAATAACAAAATCACTCAAATCTTGCGAACCAGCGGCCTCTTGAAGAGTCGCACCTAAAAGAATAATTATATATTAGATTCACTTAGAATTAGTTGAGTTTTATTCATGGTTGAACTATCTAGTTGGAATAAATGTCACGCAAAATAAAAGTGGTGCAAAAAAGTCGTTGTATTAGCGATTACAAATAAATAAATAAATCATCCTAAATCAATTGTTCAACTACCGTTTTAATTGCTTGCGTTTCGCAAGCAATGGTTCTAAACCTTGGATACACGAATAAATTGATAACGAAAACATCTCGTGATATTAAAATCCATGGTGAAAGCTCATAGTAGAAGTATTTATATCATTAGTTTTCTTGAATCGCAAATGATGCAAGAATTTTGGAGAAAAGAAAATGTCATATGCAAATTAACCATGTTCACTGAATACGTTTCGGAGAACAGCTCTATCATCAGCTCATCAACTTCAAGATTACAACTATAATCAACAGATAGATTAAAAATTACACGGCGAAGGTTAAAACTTGAATAGCCATTTAAATAGACTAAATTAAAACTAAACTAAATTAAATAGACTAAATTAAATAGACTAAATTGAAACGAAAATATAAAACAAAGAAAACCTTTCGATTAATAATTTCAAAGAAATGGGAACTCTTAGCGCAATTTAAATGAAGTTTTCGTTTAAAAAATATTCAGCTATTCCAAGATCCATCACTCTGAGGTACTGGAGGTGGGGCCCGAATCAAATAAAATTTCCTTTAAACCCAAGAACGTTGCACTGTTCAACAGAATGAGAAAAGTGAGCCAGCAAAACTCCAGAACTACTGCCGCAGTGATCGTGAAATCTCGTGTACTATTTAAACGGCTTCATTCCGACGTGATGCGCACAGCTCACAACTGTACTCATAAGTAAGAGAGGATTGTATCCGTGAAGGAATAACTTCCGTATACTTGAATAGTAAACCGATTAGGAAATTATCAGTCAACAGCAAATGCATGCACTCCGAAAAATATTTCATAACACGAATGTTCAACATCTTGGGCATAAAGTCGAACGCAGAACCAAATTAAGTATGTCAGGTGCACTAAATAATTTTCCCACTGTCAAGCTCTTGAGAGTTTGGACATAAAATAACTTTACTTGAGTAAACACAAGACTGGACGGACGAACCGTGATTATTCTACTCCGTGTTAATTTTGGTCTTCTGTCAGCTGGGGTTAGAATAACCCATTAATTGTAAAATTGGCCCAAAGACAGAAAAATTCTGTTTTGCTGTAGTTTGAGTTATTGTTCTATAGTTAATACATCACCGGATAGGCAGCACCACTGGTTTGTCGGCTTATGTTTAGGGTTAGTTCCATATATTTCGACCCCTCCAGTGCAGCTCTATCTTCACAGTGAGAAAGTCGTGAAATTTGTTTACGCAAAACTTTTACTATACTTGTAAAGAAGTTAGGTATGTAATAATATTATATATTCCATTGTTTAATTATTTTTGGTTTATTAAGGCAGTTACATATGTTATTTTAAAAATAATGCTTTATTACACGACTTTCACCCAGAATCGGGATTAATTGAGGATTTTTTTTTGGATTTGTTAACTAATTACCTGAAATAAGCTTTACATAGACTATGTCTTATTTAAAGCCTCAGATCATCAGACATAAAAACAAGCCAGACACCGCAAAACGGACTTGGATATGGCAAAAAATATCGGGCGTACGCGGTGACAAATATTGGTTAAAACAGAAACTGCCTGGAGCTGTTAAGAATCACTGATATCGCTAGCAATGAATTCCTATCAAGATAAATGGACATACCTTCATGAGCTACTCAATGGCTAAAAGAAAATTGTTCAAATCAATTAGGAATGTAATGTATTCTCAATCGTAGCTTGCACCATCAATGAAAAAAATTCACGGAGTTATTGATTCCAATGATAGTGAATCATCAGGGAATGTACCAAGCAGAACCAGCACACCTGAACTCATAATTGACGTCTTACTTTTCGCTGGTAAAACTCCCAGGGCTTCTATAGCCGCTCCTATTACCAGACCGGTTGCATGAACCACTCAGAGATAAACTTTGATATTTAAATCAGGGTTGGTTCTCTGAACACTTGATTCGTGAGGAAATATTAAATGAAATTTACGTAAATAGAAGCCGTGCAAGGTCCATTTATGGATAGCTGGTGTTATAGGTATGAGTTCTGATACAATGCATACAGGAAAGGTCATTCAGCAGAAATGTGTCGGGACATCCACGACGAGAGTGAGGCTCAAAGTGAAGTTGGAGAATATCGAGGAGAAGACAAATGAACTACCGTATACTGTTTAGTTAGATAATTAAAGCATGACAATAATAACAATTTAGAAACACGAGCAGTATTGCAGGTAATGCAAGAATAGCAACCGTTGCAGTAACAGCTACTTCAACAGAGGCGCTGAAGTGCAGGTGTTGTGGCGCTAAATCGTAAAAAAAAACAGATAATGTAATGAAGCCATTTTAGGGAATAATATTCAGCTAAGATAATAAAATTGTTTTCTTTTTCTAACGTTTATAACAATTAATGACTATGCCCAATTTTCACATTTATAAAGATTCTCGTAATTTGAATCCTGGATTTTAGTCTTTATGTCCTATAACTACAAACAAACTTCAAGCATACTTCGCATTGGGCCAGGAAAACGAGCTCAACGAGACTGCATTCTAGGTCATTCCCTAAGACACGATCGACGTACTAAGTGAAATATAAAAGCGCTAAGAAGACTTCGTGATAATTTCAGCTGATAATCGCTAATGTTTGTGGTTCACATGAGTACATTTGATTCTATAAGCCTCATGATTTCTGGTGAGAGCCTTTCAGTTTTTTTTCAGCTCAAACTCGTTTGCGTTGAAAGACAAACTACAAGTTATATTGAGACAAAACTTGTTTACTTCGTAACCTGTTCTCGTATCTATTACATGTGAAATAATTCAATTATTTGCTGCACTGAAACAATAATCTATGTAGTTCGTTAACAGAGGTTAACTTTACAATTTTAATCTAGAAAGAGTTAAAAAAATGAAACTTAACCGAGCCATGGTCAATGCCGTGAAGTTTCGAAAAGAAAAGTTTTTCTGTTTATAGTTGAAGTTATATATAGTATTTGTTATTATAAGCAGCGAGAGGAAATTTATGCATAGAATAAAATAATATAAAATATATCGAGAAGTTCGTCGCTCCTGAAAATGGACCTTAATTGTTATAATAAAGTATATTGAATGAAATTAAAAATTTGAATTTAGGTTTTAGAATCAGATTGAAAAAATAACGGTGGAAACACACAATAATTCGTTTATTAATATAATGGTGAATGTTAATTAAAATTAAATTTGCTGAATTTAAATTTGCTCGTTAGTCGGTACTGAATATTTTAATTTCTCTATTATAATTTTTTTTGCGCTATGGATATGATGTAGCGCTGCGGTTACGATTGGATAAAAGAACATTTTGATACATAAAGATACAGAGAGATGAGACGGAGAGATATCGGATAAAAAACGAAAATTTCGTTCCCGAATTTCGTGCTTTCTAGTACAGAAGCAAACAATAGAAAGGTTCTTAGGCACTTTAAAGAATGCGGTATAACCTTTTTGCTACGCCCAACGTATTGTTCTCAAACTGTCCATCATCAACTGTAGGCCTTCCTTTGATAACCGTAGCACAGCAACTTCTCGTAAGCTGGGAACCACGTGAATTCAAATTTTGATTTAAGATTTAATTTTTCACCTTGAGCCTCAGATCTTGGGATACGTCGGATTTTTTTTAAATCTCCCAAGAGGAGGCAAGTGAAACCTATTCTATTTATACTTTTTGGGGGAGTCCACCTAATCTCTATATTCAAAAAGCCTACCTAACAGGTCACGCAGGGGTGTGGCGAATAGCCTTATGCATATAGTAACGTTACTATACGACTGAAACGATAATAAGATACTACACTATTCTGATGATACTAATTAATAAACGATTGAGTATAGATTGACTGAATATGCACAGGTTATTATATTTACTATTTATAATTATATAATAAAGTACTTATAAAAATATATTTCCTTTTTATTTTACAGTAACAGTATCCTTACCGCCTCCGGTGCGCCGATCGTTTAGCTTTCCATGTTGTTAGATGCTTTTCTTTGAAATCTGAAATTATTTGTTCATATTTATATAATTCCCTATTCATAAATTTTACGAGGTAAAGAAACTGCGTCATTTTGTTGCGTCAAAGAGCACATATGAAAATTATAAATGCGTTGGTAGATAAATGTTGTAGATGTTCGCAGGTCGCTTATGCGAACAATATTTATTTCGCAGGGAGAGGATCGAGTGGGGTTGCTCTTATACGTCACGAAATTATTAATTATTGGTTATCACGATGACAATCACGATAGGATTGTTACAAAATTCATAGGGAAGTTTCCTGATGATTATTTACACAGGATCCTGCTTTAGAGGATGCAGCATCATCTTGCATAAAAACCGAGCGCGAACTTTACGTAAAAGATCAAAGGTCAAAAACAACGGCCGCGAAATGTCGCGACTGTTCTGACGGCATAAGCTTGTGAATGTATGAGCATTTGAAGTAAATACATTGTAATTTTACTGTCAATTTAGACGTTTTCGGTTTTGAAATTAGAATTGGACAACGAGACGAAAAACTTTATATTATGATTGAAAAGATATGGTTGAACGAGAAAATAAATAAATACCAATAATTTATATTAGATAATATAAGTTATTTGATTAGAAAAATTAGATTATGCTTGCAACGAATTTGAGGTAGAAGCAAAAATTTTATTATGATAAATTTATAAATGTATAAATAGACCTTTTAACTTGAAGATACATACGAATATGGTTAATTAGCTGACGAGCTAGAATTGACAACTATTTTGAATTCTTCAGTTTTTTGCAAATGAAATAACATATAAATTAAATTGGGAATTACTTACGCGAAGTAAAATCATTAATTTCCATAAATTTTGATTCTATCAACTATCTTGCTCTCTGCTCAAACATGGTTTAAAATACAAATTAAAACCTGGATGAAAACCTGGATGGAAAGCTGAATGAAAAGTGGATGGAACGTGGAGATAACCGTAGAGGAAAACCCGGAGTAAAACATGTATGAAAAGACGGATTAAAATCTGGATGAAACTGTAAATGAAAACTGAAAGTAACATTCTTTTAAGTATGACATAACATAACATAACATAACATAGTGATGTCGGCGCTAAGGAGTAGGCCTGATGTGGCCTGACGCCGATTCTTGTACTTTTCGCGACTTGTTCACAGATGATCTAAAATCGTATCATTTGACCGGATCTTTTCAGAACTGACGATAGTTTGAAATAGCTACTTGACTCCCACTGGGTTCGATATAGTGCTAGGCATTTCAAGTCTGAACATATATTTTTTCATAGCTCCATCTATAGTCTGTTCTTGAACGCGTTCATACTTGGAGCGCCAACGATGTCATCGGGGAGGCTGTTCCACATGTCGGTGAATCGCAGCGAGAAGAAATTTTGTCGCGTGGAGAAGTTGCAGCGCAGTTTTCTCAGTTTATAGCCGTGGCCCCTGGTGTTGGTTCTTGTTTCAAATTCTAGTAATCCTTCAGGGACCTTGTATAAGCCATGAGTATACTTGTATAATTCAACGAGGTCCCCACGCAGGCGTCGATAACTGAGGCTTGGAAGCTTCATAATCTTTAATCTTTCTCCATAGGACTTGCCCTTCAAACCTGGAATTATCCTTGTTACACATAATCAAGTTCCAAACTTATGACGCTATAGAGATGAAATTAAACATCTGAACTAATATAATGTTGTGTATGATAAATTTAGTCGTTTTTAATGTGACCTTTACATTACTTTTGACCTTTAGTCGTTTTACAGCATGACCATGTACAAATATTCAATCAATGGTAGATACCAGTAACGAAAATCATCGATAAGCTACGGTGCTGACTGTTGTCACATCAAAACTTTCCCTTTTTAGTTCATGAGATCCAAACATTATCGTTCCAAGAGATAGAAATTATTACCTATGCCATCAGGAAACTAAGTCTGATTGTTCTAAGCTGCTAATCTGATATTTTCACAATTTTCGCTTTCTCGTTTATCCAAACATCAGTCCAAGATACGGAAATTCGTACCTATGCCAGCAGGAAACTATATAAGTCGGATGGTTCTATGCTACTAATCTGATATTTTTCAAAATTTTCACTTTTCCGTTCATCCAAACATCAGTCCAAGAGACAGAAATTTGTACCTATGCCATCAGGAAACTAAGGCTGATAGTTCTAAGCTGCTAATCTGATATTTCTCAAAATTTTCGCTTTCTCGTTCATCCAAACATCAGTCCAGGAGACAGAAATTCGTACCTATGCCATCAGGAAACTAAATCTGATGGCTCTAAGCTGCTAATCTGATATTTTTTTCGATAGCTTGACGCGCCGGGGCAAAGATCATTGAATTCTGACGTCACGTATGGCTTTGCTTGCAATGGCTATGACGTCACGGCGACGCCTCCCGCGAGTCTGCGGGAACCGCCAAGATTTCCGACCCGCGGATCTCAGCAAGTACATATAAGGCAGAGATCATCTGAGCTGGACATCAGTGTCTCAGCGTCACTTGTCACGGTGAGGTGGGACTTTCAGTCTCGTCACACTCTGCTTGAATAGGTTACTGGTTTTTGAAGGCTGATCTGAAGGCCTGTAGACCGAGCGCGCGTTCTTTTTTTGTTAGTTATCTGGTTGAACCTTATTTTATATTTTACTTTCATTCAAATTAGTATCGGGCAATATTTTATGACAGCAAAATTAATATGATTATTTTTATATCATTCAGAATCGGTCATTAATCGCTGCTCAATAGAATACATCAATACCAAGACTTAAGTCAAGAATGTTACATTTGAGTTTAATAATTAATTTGTGTTTAATGAGAAAATGTTATTAATTTGGATACTGCACAATTACGAAATTTGAGAGCAACTTTATGGGTCCAGACGACTCTTTTTAAACAGTCGATCAAATAACACTTTTTAAATTCGAAATAATTTTGCTCTTTATTAACTGCAATCACATAAGAATTATTTTGATTCCTAAGTTGGTTGTATATTATGCACGAATTTTTTTAAACACGCCATCAATTTAAGGGCGGAAAATTGTGAACATATCTGAGCACATTCAGGAGGAGCTGCTAATTGAATTATCGTAATGACATTTAAATGGTGGCGCTTGGAGCTATTTTGGGCACTAATATAAAATGGCACAAAAATATGCCCAATTCTGGTGCCTTCAATGATATAAATATCTTGCTTGCATAGCTTGATTTTACAATCCCATATATTAATAAAAATCATATCGCTCACTTAGACTAAATTTTTTATTTCAGACATAGGTGCGAAAAGTGCATTGTGTGAAAATTGGTTTCAGAATTAAACTATTTTTAACCAGCAAAGAGGCGCAATTGTATTCTACAAAATCAAAAACACAGGTACGTAAAATTATCAATTATATTTTATAATAAAAAAAATTCTATGCCCTAAATTTTTATGGAATATTCAGTGGGTTATATATGAACCACATTTGCTAAGTGTATTAAGAAAAGAATAGAATAGAAGTGTCGGCATTGAAGAAATAGGCCCATGGCCTGTTACCGATTCTTGTACTTTTCGCGACTTGATTCACAAGTTTCATTTCTGTGTATTCAATGTTCAGGCAATAGGGGAATAATGACACAAATTGTACAATATACTTTCGTAAAGTTGAGTTTGTGCTCGGGCAAGCAAACATACGCAGGCGTATGAACCTCATCTGCTGTCAATGGTGTTGCCGAGCTGTGAGGTCATTGAGGACGCCCATAATAAAATATGAAACTATAACGGAGATAAAACTTGTCTCGTTGAAGCATCATTTAGTTTTTAGATGAAACACGTGTGTAGGCTCAGTTTCAAATTATTTCCAAGCATCATATTTTTTTACGTAACATAGAAATGAATTTTCGCGAGTGGATCTGAGAAAATTTGTATTTGAATTTTCGAAGATTGCAATCAAATTTTGGAAATTTAAACGAGTGAACTTTCATTCAATAATTAAAAAAGTGAAATGCGCATAAACTTGCAAGCTTATCATTTATAAAACAATTGCAAGTCATTGTATAATTGTTTAAGTTATAATAAATTCATCAGATCAAACAGACGAGAATGGCAGCGATGTTGTGGACACGAGCGCTTCAAGTCATCAAAGCCACGACGCTCGAGCCTGCGATGCTCGTGGACGGCGCGGCGAGCAACGCTATGATTATACTCATGGAGAACGTGCAGATGATTAAAACCTGCACCCATACGCTGGGATTCTCAGAGGAGGTCAGTGATTAAAGAGGAAGTCAGTGATTAAAAAGTGCACCCAAAAGCTAGGGTTCTCAGAGGAGGTCAGTGATTAAAGAGGAGGTCAGTGATTAAAAAGTGCACCCAAAAGCTAGGGTTCTCGGAGGAGGTCAGTGATTAAAACGTGCACCCAAAAGCTAGGGTTTTCCAGAGATCAGTGAATAAAACTTGCACCCAAACGCTAGAGTTCTCTTAGGAGATCAGTGATTAAAACGTGCATTGTATGAAAATTGTCATTGTGCATTGTGTGAAAATTGGTTTTAGAATTAAACTATTTTGCGGGACAAGCGAAGAGGCGCAGTTGTATTCTACCTAACCAAAAACCTAATAGTACGGTGATTTTTTTGTAGGTGTGTAACAACCTATCGCTCCACGAGGAGGCGAACATCTTGGTGCAGAAAGAGCTGAGCATGTTCACGTTCTACAACAGCATTATACTGTCTATTGTAGCGCTGCTATTCATACTCTTCATGGGCGCGTGGAGCGACGTGTATGGTCGGAAGGTTAGTGTGATGTTACAAATGAAGGATATTATTAAATTGATTGTTAATTTCCCTGACGATTATACGTACACTAGCTTAACACCTGGAGCAGAATTATTAACTTTTTTCGTGATAACCTCTCATGAAACTCCTGACACGTCCCATTTCTAGATTTTGAAATGTATATTCATTTGCGCGCAGGTTCAAGTAAATAACCATTCTACTTCGCGAAATATGTGTTACTGTAGTAAATATTAATATGTAGTAATATAAACATACTGACCAACATTGTTGATTAAGCCAAACTAAATGCTGATGCGTCTATGAACAGAAACTTCCACTTTTTTAATTTAATTATTTCATTGTCATAGGAAAGAATTTCGAATTTCTCCTCGCGACAAACGTTAATAGGCTCAATAGACCTAAAGACGACCTATACAGTGGCATAAATTTATTGCCAGATTTTTGCATTCAATCTTTCCATCACTGTAGAATTTACGCGTAGCAAAATGTCAAATGCTTCAACAATTCACTTTTACTTAACATTCCGCATATGGTTTCTGAAAACAAATATACATACAAATGAACACACGTAAATTATATAATGGTGATACAATCACAAATATAATGGTGATACAATCATGTATAACTCATTAATATTTCAACGGAAATATTCAAATATGAAATAGTAAATATCCAAGATAATTAAATAGCCCTTTACCAAATTATTTGCGCACCACACTGTCGCACCAGTCGTAAGCCATGAATAGCGACACAAGTTAGAATCCAAGTAAACCTAGCCTACATAGGAAATATCTCAGTAGTTGGTACTGAACAAAACAATCAATAATTCTGCGGTTGCAAGACTCTTGTGCTTGCTTTCAATCACGGAACTTACTTCGTGACTCTGCGCCTGAGTAGGCCTTCAGCTGCTTGTAAGCGAGCTTTGCTATGCGTAATCATGCACTCCTCCATGCAGCTCATTTCTTCATTACCTTGGTATTTATTTTATATTCGTAGGTAACCTCGATAATAGTTGCCCACAATTCTTTGTTGCTTCGGGCTTTCAAAATGCTGTGCTTGTTAAACACATTAATAATTACTGTAATTATATTATTAAAATTATTAACTACTGTTATTTATACTGTTAGTTATTTATTTACTGTCTTTTGACTGGTACGGCTTCCAATTTTGCTATAAACCTCTGTAAAAATCATTTAAGACGTTAAATTTAAGGTTCATGAAGCCTTACTGCATCATCATTTTACATTCTTGCGCATTATATTTAGGTCAGTCATGTGTGTACTAAATTCTCAGATTTCTCGACTTCTAAAGCGGGAATGATTCCTTTATCAAACGTGTAATCTCAACACACTTTTTTTGCGAGATAAAATTATGTACTAGGATTATATTCATGTAGACGCTGGCTAAGTGTCTAGCATTCAATCCATCTCTTCCATGTCTAGAGCATATTGCGTCTCTATTACAGACTTTCTAAATCATATAATACAATTAGAATTGGATGGACTAATGGGCTAAGGTCCATCCAATTCATGTAACGCTCGGTACCTTACATAATTGTTTAATGCACCTACTTTCAATTGGCCTTATTATTTTCCACCGACAGTTTCCTTTGGTGCTGACATTCCTGTGCCAAGTGATAAACGCAGCGGGATACCTGCTAGTACTAATGGTTCCCTCGATGCCCATCGAAATAATTTACGGCGCATCTTTGATCATGTCGTTAGGGGGCGGAAACCCTGGGCTGATGTCCATAGCTTTCAGCTATGCCAGTGATATAAGCTCTGAAGAGGACAGAACCCTTAAGATATCAACTCTCAACTCACTTTGGTATCTTGGAGGACCCATCGGCACAGCCCTGACTGGTTTTGTGCTGCGACACAGTACATATCACATGGCCCTATCAATAATGCTTGGTCTTAACACATTCGGTTTACTGTACATCATATTCTTCATCAAAGAAAGCTGTGGACCCTTCGCAAAGATTGGAAATTGTCTCAAAGAGCCAGGCAAACAGACACTCAAGAAAGAGGATGTAACTCTGTCAAGGATGGTTGTGGATTTTGTGAACTGGAGGAGAGTTGCGGAGTCTTTCCATACCCTCTTCAAAGCCAGACCTGGGTACAATCGTGCACTCCTGTTCACATCTGTCGTCTGCAATATGGCTAGAAGAGCCGCCAGAAGTAAGAAAATTTTACTTTAGCTTTCTAATTCTTAGGGGAATGTTCCATATTAAAACTCAATTAACTGAGTTTCAGACTTATGACATATTGATTAGACTTATTTTATTAGTCGTGTATCTGACAATTTATCAATTGTAATAAGCTACAGATGGGGGTAAACTCATAAGTAATCATTCGAATTTTGGTATTATTTGATTTTAAACAAATTCCCATTGGAAATTCTGAAAATATCTTAATAGTCACTTCTCTACAAGTTCGACACAAAGTAGGCTTAAATTAAACAACTCTAATTTGGCGAAGTTCATAGCGTCCAGATCACATAGAGCGAAAAATGGCAAAATTATGCAATTCCCTAAGAACTCACGACGAGAAGGTAAAAATCCCTGAGAAGTAGAAATATTTTTGCATCTCTAAATAGATAATAATCTCAAGATGATATGTTTGCAGGTTTCTTCTTGTACCTGTTCGCTCGTATCGTTCTTGGTTGGGACGCAAGTTACTACAGCTACTGGACTACTAGCAGAATCCTCATCACCGCTGTCTGTGAGTTATCATTTATTGCTGACATTTTGCCTCGTTTACCGAATTTCTTTAACATTATCTCTCTCTTTTTACTTTAAAAACAAATAGGTCTCATCGGTATTTCCATTTCTATGCAAGTTATTAGCGTGCTTTCATAAGCCAGGTCATAAGCCAGGTCATAAGCCAGGTCAATGGGTAATGTATCTGCATTCTCTGCGGATACATTACCAGCGTCGAAAATGCCATCCGTATCTGAAGTCATGGAAATATAATTATTGTCAGAGGGCTAACTTTCTACCAGGTTGATATTATGTTACATTAACCTGGTAGGGATTACAAGACAAAGTAACCAGGCAAATAACCACACCATGGTCTTGTGACGGCAGTATCCAAAGTCCTGGAAATGTTATAGTCAGAAAGCTAATTTTCTACGAGGTTAATATTATATTTCATTAACCTGGTATAGATTATAAGACACAGTAACCAGACAAATAACCACACCATGATATTGTTTGGGCAGCATCGCTGTTCCTAGTGCCGCTGCTGTCGAACCTGCTGAAAGCGAGCGACTATACGCTCGTTGCGTACGGCTCCGTATCGTCTGCCCTCGAGTTCGCTGCGTACGCTCTGGTGCTGAGTCCCGCTTACGCCTCCATCATGTGGGTCTCACCCATCCTTGGTCTACTCACCAACGCACAAATCGCACTCCGGTCCTTCCCCACGAAAATCGTCGACCCCGATGAGAAAGGTGGGTTTGGGGTCTCAATTTTTAATTATATTTTCAATTATTTAATGCTTAATTTATAAGAAGTTTACTTTCCACTGAAGTGTTGGTTGGGTTTGCAGAAGTTGATCAAAGCAATTTATAAAGAAATGTAAAAAAACTATTGATTTTGATAAAAATTTTGCCCTGCGTATTGTTAGTACAATAACAGAAATTAGCTTCAAAATTGAAAACAGAAATTGGAAAGATTATTATGTCTGCGCTACCACTAAATTTTGTATTTAACCAATAACATGTGCGTAACCAATTCACAATCGTTACTGCTTTCGCTGGGCTGTAAAACGAACTCTTAAGATGAGGCGAAAAGTTAAAAATTCGAAAAAAAATTATGCCTAAAATTTAAACGCTGATAGCAAAGCAGCCCAGCACAACATATAAGAACCGGGCTACTGACACATTAACTTGAATGAATCCAAATCAAACTCCAGCTGCTCTCGTGAAAACGCTTGGTTTCTCATCAGCATAAAAATTAAATTTTCCAACGCTATATGTATCTCAAAGCATGGAAACGAACCTCGTAATAAATAAACAAAAGCCTAAGCAAGTGGTTATGGACTTCTCGCTTCGAGTCACCGACATGTGGAACAGCCTCCCTGATAGCATCGTTGACGCTCCGAGTATGAACGCCTTCAAGAACAGACTAGACGAAGCTATGCAGGAACATTTGTTCAGTCTTAAAATGCCTAGCAAATTATGGACCAGGCAATAAGTCCAGCAGCTATCTCAATCAATCGTCAGTTATGGAAAGATCGGCTTCCAAAGGCCGGATCCCTTGTGAATCAAGTCACGAAAAGTACAAGAATCGGCAACAGGCCATGGGCCTATTTCTTCAGTGCCGACACTTCTATTTTATTTTGTTCTATGGTACAGGCCGCGTGACTGCGGCGACGGGAGCGCTGACGAGCCTCATGCCCATGGCGGGCTACGCTTGCTACACCGCCATATACAAGAGCACAGTCGCCTCCTTCCCAGGGGCGCAGTTCATCTTCGGTGCCGCCATCAACTTGGCTATTGCCATCCTATTTATGTAAGTGCACGTATTATCAGAACAGAAATTATTATAAGTAGAGAAATTATTTTGAGGAGTGGAGTTATTAGAAGAAGAGATGTTATTAAAAGATGAGAAACTATTATAAGAAGAGAAATAATTATAAGAAGGGATATTAGATATTATTATGGAAGATATTATTCTAAGAAAAAAATTATTATAAAAGGAGATATTATTATAAGGAGAGATATTATTATAAGAGAATTATTATAAAAATAAAAATTATTATAAGAAGAGATTAAAAAAAAGGAGAGAAATTATTGTAATAAAATATAACTTGGTTTCAGGAAAGATGAATTAAAGCGTTGGGGTATTTTTTCTGTTGTTTTCCTGCTATTTACCGTGCGTAGAGCGGCCTGGCAGAGAGATGATCATTAACTAAGGGGTTTTATAAATATTATTTTTCATCGCTGTAAGTTGACCTCCAATCGGAATAGAAACTTTTGAACGGGTTCCTGAAATAAGTGCTTTTAGTTAATGAGTGTTTTTTGAAGATAAGATATCTATTCATGTAGCAATAAATATAAGTTTTTTAACTACTTTTATATCTCCGGCGTACAGATGCCTATACGCGGTCAACAGGAACAAGAACACAAGCAAGGATGACGTGGAAAACATCTCCGGTAAATCCACTCTTGCAAGGAAATTGTCGAACGCGATCTTGGCTGGCTCTGTCCAAGGATCCGAACATTTTTTTATGCCGGTTGAATGTCAACCGGCATCAAAACCGGCAGTATCGAGTCAACATGAGTCCGAATGCTTGTCAATAGAAATTCCCGAAGGGCTTAAATTGAACGCTATTCTATGCAACGAGAAAGTTCATCGAATTGCATCTCGTAGTTATTCCTTAGGTACAATTAAAAGCTCAAGTGTCCAACGAGAATTAAAACGCAACAGAACTTATTCTAATCCTTTGACAGATGACGAAATAAAATTTTCTGAGAACTGAGAAGTTGTAGAATATTGAATCTGTGATCATTACCGTAGGATTAGTTAAATTATTTATTGCGTGAATTGGTAACTTTGGTTTTATACAATAAAATGTGACTGCGTTTCGATTAGATCATGAATGAAGGATTATCGTAAAAAATGTTTACTCAACTATACTTTATGTTTATTCACTTGAACGTCGTTTCGTGTATTGTGTTATGCCAGCATGTATATGTATTATGCCAGCTGTAAAAAGCGTATGTTGAGCGTCAGTGTAGGTTTGTTGACTAATTACACGTCATTAAACATGTCAAATCAAATTATTATCCTAGCTTCAGTTCTTATAGAATTGAAAGGAATAATGAGACACACAATATAAACTATAGAGACAACCGACCGGATGAGGAAGTGACGACGTAGTAATAATAATAAATAATAATAAGAATAAGGCCACAGGTTTACGTGCCTTAGCGAGAGCGACGGAGACATCCAGGAGCCAGCCATATTGTGGTCCAGATAATTAGTTAAAATTCTAAGAAATCGACGATTCTCGAAGAGAGTCTTTCTGGTCAAGCACGTGTTATCATATTTAGGGAATTTTCCCTACATGATATTCGTCCCCACTCTGCTTTATTTCGCAATAATTGCTGGAATGGAGTCGAGTAACAAGTCAACAAACTCTCGATCGTGCATCCAAGATTTTTGCGATGAAAATTAATGAAAGCAGAATGCGTCATCAAATAGAAAATAGAATAGATTGGAAAAATTATTATCAACTAAAAAACTTACACTGGCACTATGAGGTATCCAACACAGATCGGCTACTATAATTTAAAAATAAATTAATAAAAAACAGCAATACAAGTAGTTTTTGACTTTGAAAAAGTAAAAGCATTTTCGTTGATGACATTGACACGTGTTCAATATAAAATCCTTAATTAGATTAGTCATTGCGACCAAGCATTCGGGAAATTAACCATTGGAAATTTCCCAGCTTTTTTACCCAGACAGCCAAAACTGAGCTCACTGCAAAAAAATCTGACGGATAATTGACCGTAAACTCAGATTGGAACAAGGCAACGAAACTTTTTTCTTTTTGAGCATCTTTTTTTCTACTTATGACACTTGAGCCTGGAACACAAAACTCGCAGAGTGGCTATAGGGAGAATAAAGACTGATTGATTGAAATGAATTGATAACGCGTAGGAGTTATTTATGTTTTTTTCACCTTTCAAAAAGTTGAAGAGTTGAAGAGCAGGCTGATCGAGGGATTTCCGCCTCTGTGATGTGACCGCCACTAGTTAAAATTTCGCACGCGCTACGCATTTCCACGAACGTAGAGCGTGTCGATATAATACTAATACACTCTTACTATTGACCGAAGATATAATACGAACTCACAAGAACATTAAAGTACCTAACGATGACACAGGAACGACAGTCAGGCAATTAAAGTTAATCTTGCGGAAAATTACAATAGAAACAAAATATGTGGACACTGATGTACATATGAATGGTGACTCATCAAAAATTTTATGACATTCTGCGCTATCTATCAGAATTAACTGCTAGCGCAGCTAGCACGAATGAGAAAAATTTGGCCATATATTCTATATTTGGAAGTTTAGTCTTCAAGAGAAACACGGATGTGTTGCAAAACAGATACGTCAAAAAGCTTTTACATTTGAAAAAAATATGAGCTATTATAAAACTTGCTAAGAAATCATATGTGATCATGATTCGTATTTGAAACTTTCACGGTCAATAAACAAACAATATTACTTTATGGGCAACCATTATGAAATGTGCGATCTTGTTAGCTCCACAGAAAGCTGCCTATACCCTTGAAGTGTTTATTTTCCAGTAAAGACATTAAAAAATTCTGCTCCTCGGCTAACTTATTATCTACGAACTATAAACATGAAGGAAGAATTGAGAAACTTGTCCAATATTAATAAAGTCTTGATAATTTTCGTAAGCCTATATTTTAATCTGGGACAGAGGGTTATTCCCTCTGGTTATAAAAAATGGGTTATAAAAATGGTTATAAAAATGGGCAGAGCGTTATTCCCGATAGTCCTGTGCGATGAGGCTTCATCAACAAAATGTTTGTGGAAATGTTGTGTCCACTAGGATGAAATCGAGGAACTCATGCGAATGGCCAGCACAAAATTATGCAATATGACAGAACCCGTAATGATACAATTTCATAGTGGTAAAAATAAAATAAGTAAAGGAAGATTCGCGGCAGATATGCTTTTGAATGTCTCGGCCTTCAAACTCGGGCTTCGGACGCTGCGAGATCAAGGACGTTGCAGCTCGACGACTCCATTGTTTTCGTAAATATCACGTGGAATTAGGCGAAACAAACCGTAATCATTCACATTCTTAATTAAGCTTTCAGGGTATGCTAGTCTTACATTTCAAGTAGAAATATTCAAAAATAAATTTTTGGACATGAATTCCGTTTCCGTTTTTAGACAATTTCCAAGCCTAATTTCCGTTTTTAGGCCAAAATTTTCCGATTGAATGTCACTGTATTCACGGCAAAAAATTGCGTACAGATTGAGCTCATGAAACTGGGAAAACTATATTGTAAATGTTATTGAAGCTCGAATGACCCTAATTAGTACGCGACACATGTTTGATAGTTCACTTGAAAAACAAGAACACAAAAAATGCAGAGAAATAATATCCCGAATAAAGAAAATTGGTGATGATATCCAGTTTGGTGTCTGATCCGAGCTTCGCAAGACATAACAGTGGGTTTTTTTTGCTAGTCAACGCGCCTCGAGTGCTAGTGTATGAGCATAAAAACAAATATCCTCGAACGAGCGTTATGAATAAATGCTATAGATGAACGATCAAATATATTTTTTATAAATTTGTTGTTTTCGTTATTGCCACTCACTTCCAAGTTTAGCGGCAGCAGTCTCCACGGATACATCGCAGTAATGACTCGCATAGTAATGAGCAGTCATAATGATGGTGAAAAAAATCAGTAGTCATGATATTGGCAGAGGAAGAGAAGACTTTTTATGAATTCATAATTTGATTACCCGTGGGAAACTAAAAATGTACGGAATTTAAAATCGTACAGGCTATCAAGTGAAGAGATTTAATTCCGATTTCTGTGGAAAGGACTTGGAAAAAACATGCAGGAGCGCAGAACAAAGCCCAAAAATATGATATATCGTACTTGTACTCACGCGAAGACGGCGAGAAAACACAATGGCCGCTGATGATCTTGCACGGTTCTTGAATTTTTTTCGGGTGGGGCAGGAGGGGGGATTTTCTTGTGGTCTGGAATTAGCCAGCGCTAATTCCAGAGGGCACAGGGTTCGAATCAAATTTTGGTGGTGATAAGTAGAGTGAAGCGTTTGGCATTTATGTACAGATTCACTCAAATTTGTGGAATTCACTCAATTATTTGCAAATTGGATCATTATTATTAATGAATTCAATTAATATGTTTGATATTTTTCAGCAAAACCTAGCAAAAATGAACATGATATTAGGCGGCGTGTAAAGACTCACTTGTCACGTAAAAGTTAATGTTAGTTACGCCAAAGTGCATATTATTATAAAAAAGTTGGCAAGTAATAGTTTTGACAGGACCGAAGTGGTTTCGTAGACCGGACCCAAGTGGTTTCGTAGACCGGACCGAAGTGGTTTCGTAGACCGGACCCAAGTGCTTTCGTAGATCGGACCCAAGTGCTTTCGTAGACCGGACCCAAGTGGTTTCGTAGACCGGACCCAAGTGGTTTCGTAGACCGGACCGAAGTGGTTTCGTAAATAAATAAATATTATTTATTTATTTGCTACGCGATTTTAGCTCAGCTTCACTCCAAATGAACATAGATGGTCTGATGGCAGTAGATGGTCTAATGGCAATAGATGACTAATGACAAAATATGGACTAATGGCAACTAATATACCAATGACATTAGATGGACCAATGGCTGGTATTAACTAATGACAATCGATTGACTAATTGCTAGTATGAACTAATGGCAATAGATGGACTAATGGCAATAGCTTAAAAGTTGCAGCGGTCAGACACCAAGTTTTATTGATGTGAAATCCGAACGTGTCGGTGATCAGCCCCTTGTTTTTGGCCCTAGGGGAAGACAACTCAACACTGGGAAGTTTCCCGAAAAATTTAACTGTCATCATTTCCCGTCCACCTAGGCAAACGAGCCTGTCGTAACGACCAAACATTGATTACTTACGTTAAAATTGGGTCAATTGCTAAATTATAAAAAGGTAAATGAAGCTACTTCACAAGCAGAGGTTCTTCGAGTTGGGGTTCTTGCGTACAGTACTAGACTAATTTTTAATTTCCGTCAAAGGGAAGACATTTTCTGTGCGCGCGTTTGGCCGCGGTGTTGTAAAACTCGTAAATTTTTATGTCCGTCGACATTTGGCAGCGTTTCCTACATTGTCAACGAAATAAACTGCCCAAGATGACCAGAGAACTTCAACAATTTAAGCCACTTGCTCTGTCGATGGATTATATGATTCGAGTCTATCCATCATTCGATGAACAAGAAAATGTACTTGTAAATTTCAAATATTAGCTGATTAAGTTAGGTAATTACAAAAAATGAGAATGACAGAAAGCAATATTGCAGGTCTGGGTTATAGTAAATCATTTAAATGATACTATTTTAAGAACAGTGAGATGACATATGAATCATCGATCGGGTCGTCATCAAATGAAAAAATACTGAGAATGAATTCGATGAATAAATACTGAGTTAATACGTATAAAATTGCAGCAACGAAAATAGTTGAATGGATAGAAAAACTATGAACCTTGGGCACAAACGTTGTTCGCTATTTCACGTGCAGCTAAAAAAATTATACAACTCCGTGAAAACATTACCCTATTCCTGCGCAGCGTGAATAAAGTCGTAAGCAGAATTTGGTCAGCCTCACAGGCGAGCAAACGCGAAAACTACTGGATGTCCCAGACTTCCAGCTAGTACATTGTATAGGATATATTTACGATGGTATACGATCATAAAATAAAGTAACTGTCTCCACGTGAACTATTTATAGACTGAGGCAATCCGGCGGTCCTGAAGAATATGTCCTCCTGAATCCAAGGTTTCGTGATTCGTGACTCATTCACTTTAATCCGGCTTGCCTTCAAGGCCCGAAAATGTCGACATAAACAAGGCGTCACCCCCTCTCCCCCCAAAGAAATGGTACACTACCCACCTTGAACCTTGCTCGCAAGCACCGTTATTCCAGAGTCGCAATTAAATCCCTTTTTACTTGGAATAGAACATCCTTGGTATCCGA